GTCGTGTAAGTCGTGAAGGGCGTCCCTTCGCTCGTCCATATCTTCGTTATCACCACCACCATCACCAACGCCGCCGACACCGACACCAGCGTCGGCTGGACTGTTGCTGCCGCTGCCGCGGCCGCCACTGTGCACACTTCCACGCTGGCTGGCACGGTGGCGCGCATCGTCTGCCGGTAGCGCCCAGCCCGCGTGGCATGCACACAGCAGGAAAAACGCCAGAACGGTCGGCAGGGCGTCGAGTACCAACGCGTACAGTGCATTTCGTGAGGCGGAGGCCGCTTCCTTTTGCATTGGCAGGGTTGAAGGCGACAAGGACTGTACCGATCTCCCTTTTGCGGCTTCCACGGCCTCCACCGTCCGGTACACCACCCGCATCGTCACCAGCGCCAACACGCCGTATGTCGTCCCCAGAAGCCAGATGATCTGTCGTCGTCGCTGCGGGGGCAGTGATGGCCGGACCGTGCCCGTCTCGTCACGCTCTTGCCGGCCGCCCTGTCGCGCCGGCGGGAGTGTTGCGTATGCCTGCGTGGCCGCGGCGAGCAGCATCAGCACCACGATGCCCTGCCCGGCAAGCCCGCCGGTCCAGACCAGATCGGCCACCATCAGGAAGGTTTGCGCGATTCTGTACGTGGACGAGGCCGTCAGTCCGCAGTACACCAAAAACGCGACGGCCACCGCCTGCGCCCCTGCCGCGACCATGAACAGCACCCACACAGGCCACGCCGCCACCCAGCGGCCATTTGCCGGCCACGGCCGACGCACGGCTTCGGACAAACTATCGTGCGCCGGCAGGAACCGTGTGCGCGCCAGTCGGTTGAGAGTTGCAAATGGCACGAGCGTAATGCACAGCGGCGCAATCTGCAAAAGGACAAACGCGGCCGCCAAGAGGTACGGCTGCAGGTCGACGTTGCCGTCGACGGCCGCCGAGGAGGCCACCGCTTGCAATGTGTACCCGGTGAGCGCCGCCACACCGCCGGCCACGGCCGCTGTCGCAACCTTCCACAGCCGATAGTAGCAACCCTGCACGAGATGTACAATGGCCAAAACCCCAAACGCGGCCGCAAATGCGGCTCCGCCCCATTCGCTAATGAACCGGCTGTTGCCCTGTTCCGGAAACGGGGCGAACGAGACGGCCATGTACGGCGAACAGGGACCTGGCCAGCACGTGGAGGACATTGCTGTGGTCGTCGCGACCGACGTGGGGTGCGCCGTTCGTGACGGCGTCGTCGCCGTGGGCTTCGCCGTGGTCGTATAGGTACGTAGAGAGATTCGCAGGTCGTAGGCGGCTGTTGTCGACGGCGCCAATACATATGTAGTGGTCGCCGCAGCGGTTTCAGCCGCTACCGCCAGCGCCACGGCAAAGACGTCTGCTGGGGCCATGTCGTCGGAAGGCCGTTATTCGATTTCGATCATGGGCAAAAGGTCGATTGAGAGGTAGTCAAGTCGCTAATCAAAAGTAAACATGTGAGACAAGTGCGATTGACAACGACGGCCTTGTATCACGAGACAATGCGCTTCGGTGACTGACAGTCCACGGATGGATGAGAGGAGTAGCACAAACGATGATGGAATAAAACAAATAGTGAAGACAGAAAACAAAAGACAACAATCGTGATCCTCGGGCCGTGTCAATCTGGCACTTCTCAAGCTGTCATCATCGTCTCGTTCGCGCTGTCCCCCCTCCTTGCATCCCGTCCACTCTTTCTACTTGCTAGCCACTACGTACTGACATGCATCTGGTGTCTTGGCAGGTCTGGCAGCAATACGAGTTTTTGGTGGGTGTTTATTTGTCGGCCACTCTGAGCATCGTTCGTCACTTTGAGAGTGATAAGACGGGCGGCGTGCGTCGTAAGTGAAACGCTACTGCACCCACTTGCCCGCTCGCCCAGTCACCCACTCTTCCCATCCAGTCACCCACTTATCCACTTGCCTACTGGCCCACTGGCCATGAACATGAATCTGGACAGGCCTTGTCTCTTCGAGAGCAAAATCGTGTCCCGGCAGTGCGGCTGAAAACAAGCTGTAGAACGAGGCCCAGGCAGCTGTTCACGTCCTTTCTCGTGGAAATACCTCGTATTGTTCCCATTGCGCCCTTCTGGTCCGTGCTGAACCACGGCCCCAGCCACTTTGTCTCTTGTTGCTTGTTTCTCTCGTCGCCGAAGCCTCCATGGATATGGGAATACGAGGTCTTGACAGGCGGGACCCGCTGGCCTTGGCACAGCACTGAATCTCTCTGACGGATCTGCTACTGCGGCCGCTGCAAGACCCCACAATTCCCCTGTTGACAGCCACTAACACGAGGAATAGCGTTCGAAGACCACTCGAAATCGCCCCCAAGACGCTGCGCTTTTGATTCAATCCGGCAATCGCTTTATTGCCTAGCAGCCCACTAACAGCCGAATCCAGTCTGCCCCCTCAAGCTGTCCCCAAGTAACGAACAGTCTTTAAATAGAAACAGACCTAATGCGGCAAGGCCCGTGAATATCAACGACTACACTACACTGCCGAACAAATCCAAGCTTGACGAACGCCCTCCAGAGCCTCCATCTTTGGCACTCGCTCCGTCAGCTATAAACCGGCCACTGACCGTGAGAGTCAATACACCACCACGCCTCAAACAATGGCGCCCTTTTTTCTCGTACAGGAACTGCCTTCTCTTCGTGCACTCATCTCGATCGACCATCCGCAATCCCCAAAGAAACAGAAATAGACCGATAGCCCGACAAAGTGTGAGCCTCAACCGCCGGCTCCTACATTACGAGTCAATGGCGCTCACGTGGTCCGTGATCAGGCACGTCGCATCCGAGCTGCCGTAGTAGATCGTGTTGCCATCGTCGGGCGACCGGCCCGTGCTCAGGGAGTCGCCCCACTGCCAGAACAAATCGGCTGCCAGGCCGTCGTTGGCCGCGCCGACGGCGGCCCTCTGCCACGGCGTCTCGATGGCGCAGTGGTCCGTCGTCGTGCCGTACTCCTCCAGCAGGCACGGCTTGCCGGCCGCCTTGCATGCTGCCGCATGGTCGGCGATCCAGCCGGGACCGAAGCTGTTGTCCACGCCCCATGACGACGGGTACATGTGGAAGGTGCCAAAGTCGAGCGTCGCGATGCCCAGGTTCTTGACAAAGTCCACGCCCTCGGCGGTCGTGTACGGGTACGACGAGGCGCCGTCGGCCGGGGTGAGGCCCATGCCCTCGTCGCCCAGCGTCACCATGCGGTGCGGGTCCAGACTCTTAATGTATTGCGAAGTCGACGTCGCCCAGTTGTAGATTGTGTCCGTCGAGCAGCCGTTGCAACGCGGCTCGTTGGCCAGCTCCCAGGCAAAGATGGACGATGCGTTGGCGTAACGCGTCACCACGGCCTTGATGTATGCGCGGTACTGCGCCTGGGCCGCCGCGTTGCCGTACCACCCCTGGGCGGTGCCGCCAAAGACCGACGTGTACGCCGGAATGCCGCCGTAGTCGCCCCAGTTGTTGACAAAGTTGACAATCAGGTACACGCCACGCAGGGCCGCTGCCTCCACCACGTAGTCGAGGCGCTGCAGGCCATTGGCGCCCGTGTTGATCTGGGAGCCAGAGGACGACAGGTACTGAAAGTACACGGTGCCGTCCGAGGGTTTGGTGGTGACGTCGTTGAAGCCCCAAATGCGCAAGATTTTGAGACCTGACGAGGAAATATGGTCTAGGACCAAGTCGACATCGGCCGTGTTCGACAGGAAACCGATCCAGTACGAGTTGGATCCGGAAAGGTACTTGGTGTCGCCGTCGACGGAAAACCGGAGGCCCTTGGTAGTAGGAATGCCAGACGTAGCTCCTCTGCTAGGCTTCGACGGAGCAGCCAAAATGGTGCTCGACAACAGACTGGTCACCACAGCAGCAATGCCAAACAAAGAAGTAACGCGAGGGAGCATCATGCTCAGTGGCGGTGGTCCTGTGCTAGCTGGGGCCGTTTGAATGTTTTGAAGAAGTCTATCGAAATGGAGATGCATCTCTTCGTCATCATCGCCATCGTCGTCATCGTTGTCATCTTTTTGTCCTTTTATATTTGGCAATTTCCACGTCGACTGTCGCCCATCTCCACCCAAACAAGCGACCGCGGAGGAAGCTCACCCTTCTGGTTAACACGGTTCATGGCTCGGCTGCTCTCCTGCTCTCCACTCGCCTAGCAAGGGGCCGTCCAATTCACGATGCCTGGCTCCTTTTGCCCCATCTCTGCACTGTTAGGGACGACCCAGGAATTTCGTGGCCCCTTAATCAACGCCTCAATATGAATCTGCCGGTCGGGTCGAAGTGGACAAACGTCGTATGTCGTTTGTCGTTTACCATCGCCTGGGACGTTATTTGCATTGTCTCCACCCGATGCGGAAGATCGCCCAATAGCCTTCCTCGTTGGTCAGACTGGCCAGTGCCTCGCGGAGGAGGCATCTCCGTGTGGTCCAAGAATGTAGTAACGTTGGCAACATTTTACAGGGTGGACCAATACATTACCCGGTTAGGAAAGCAAGAGACAGAAACATGATCTGTGGCAATGTAGCTCCTTCCATCTGATAGCTTTGAAAGGACTGCGCGCCTTCCCCACATTGTTGCCCTGATGTCATGGCACTGATGGCAAGGCAGGTGCAATAGAGCTCCGCCTTCTGGTGCCTGAATCGGTCGCGGCTTCCCCGCAAAACCAGCAATCACAAGCTCCAGACTTGGCAGCACCAAGCAAAACTAAGCAACCTAAGGCCGATGTGGACCTGCCTCGAACGGTTTCAAAACAGCCCAGAGCGCACACACCACAGACCCCACAGTGGCACCTGCCTGCGAACGCGACTCAATCAATGAAGCAGGAACGCTGACGTCTTTTGAGAAAAGGGGGAGGAGCCAAGCCTGTCCGTCAAATATCCTCAATTTGTTGCCAACAGTCAAGCGTCTTAGCTTCTTTCTTTTGCGCCGTTTGCTCCTCAACGCACTTGGCATTGCCGGATACCCAGACAGCCGCCTCTCCACACTTTGCTTACGATGCCCATACGAGTCAAGTCGCGGCCGACGCAGCTGGCGGATGCCGACAGCAGGCTGCGATCACCATCTCCCTTTTTGGGTGGCGGTCTTCGATCTGGCGGCCAGCTGCCGGACGACATGCCTGACATAGGCTTGGAGGACAGTTTCCGTGTCGTCATCAAGAAACTGTCTCTCTACATCGCCGACGCGGTCGTTCTGCCATGCACCTTTGAGCAGCTGCGCACCACCTCGGCCGGGGACCGTCTCCGCACCCTCGTCACGCACCTCAGCATCACGTGCGACAACCCGGCCATTGTCAACGCCCTGCTGGCCCTCAAGTGGCACTACGGTGCGGCCGGTGGCGACCGCAGTTTGTGTGAGGCTCGCGCCAACGCCTGCGAGATTGTCGCCTGGCGGTTCTTGACACACCTGAGCGAGCGCGAGGCCGTGGATTTCTGTCTGTACGAGATTCCAGGCACCAGCAAGGCGCCTGGTGGAGTTGCCGCTGCGTCTGCGGCCGCCATTGGGGTCCAGGCCCCGAGTGGCAACGGCGATGAAGAGGTTGGCAGCCATGGTAGTCTGCCGCGGGTCAGCGGCGCCATCGACGAGTCGTCGCCGCTGCTCGGCCGGATCTGGACGTCAGCCACGTCGGACCACGACCGGGCGGCGAAACGGCGTTCTCGTCCTCGTGCTGGCAACCAGCGGTATCAACTGTTGCAGTCCATCTCCCGGCTCACCATGTCGATGCATCACGATCACCATGATAGCTCAGACTCGGACTGTGACAGCGAGGATGGCGAAGACGGCGAGCATCGTCACCATCGCCACCGTGATGGAGACGATTGTGATGACGATGAGGAGGACCCGACGGCGCCCTTTGTTAATCTCAACGCCCTCGAGATTGCTGCCGTCGCCGACGCCAAGCGTTTCCTCAGCCAAAACGTGGTTCAGAAGATTATTACGGGCATCTGGAACGGCGACATTGTCTTCTGGGACCGCCTGGAAGTGGATGCCGTCAAGAAACCCCGTTTCTACAACTCGCACACCGCCGATCCGTTTGCCCGGCTGCGCGTGCCCAAGTACCTCAAGATCTTCGAGGCCATGTACTTCTTGGCGTTCCTGGCCATCTTCTACCTGACCCTGCTGGAGCGCAACCCCTTCAAGGTCGGCCCCGCCGAAGTGCTCTTCTATTTCTTCCTGGCCGCCTTTGCCTACGACGAGCTAAGCGAGTGGATCGATGCCGGCTCGCTGTTCTATGTCTACGACTTTTGGAATGTCTTTGACCTCATCATGATCTGTATCGGTTTCCTTTTTGTTGTTTTACGTATGGCAACCCTTTTTCACCCCCTTCTGTTGTTCGCCCTTTATGTTCGCCGCGCTGACTGTACAGGCACCATCGGTCTATCACGTAACAGCGAGTACCTCATCGACCTGTCATTTGACATTCTCTCGCTTGAGGCACTCTTCATGGTCCCGCGCATCAGCTCGATCCTCAGTCTGAGTCCCTACTGGGGTACCCTCATCCCCTGCTTCAAGGAGATGACCAAGGACTTTGTCAAGTTCATGGTCCTCGTTGTCATCATCTACCTCGGCTTTCTGACCACCTTCTCGCTCCTCGGCCGTACCCTCTTCACGCTGCCGCATATGACGATGGTTCTCACCAAGATTTTCTTTGGGTCCAGCTACGTCGGCTTCGACATCATGGACGACATCGACCCCGTCTTTGGTCCGCCGCTCATGCTCGTCTTCGTGACCCTCAGCTCCATTCTGCTCATGGGCTCCCTCACGGGTATGCTGAGCAACAGCTTCAGCCGCGTCATGGGCCACGCCCGCGAGGAGTATCTGTACGTGTACTCCATCTACGTCCTCGAGGCCTCCACCAGCAACCGTCTCACCCACTTTTATCCGCCCTTCAACCTCATCGCCCTCGTCATCTTCCGGCCGCTGCGTCTCTTCTTGCCGTCCGACCACAAGTTCCGCGCTGCCCGCATCGCCCTCCTCAAGGCCACGCATCTGCCCATTGTCGGCACCATCCAGCTCTATGAGCTCGTTCGCGGCAAGATCCAAGACGCCAGCGACGAGTACTCTGCCATCCACGGTCCACCGGGTCGCCAACAAACGCCTGCCAACTTTGGAGCCAGAACACACCAAGGCGGTGGTGGTGGTAGTGCTTCAGGCAGGAGTGGTGCCACGTCGTCGGTTACTGCGGGCGCATTGGTGACTCCTAAGAAGACGCTTGTTCGCCCACCGCTCGGCCAGCGGCCGTCGTCGTCGTCGTTCCGCCACCAGCAACAACGACAACAGGACACTGGATCACCTGCACGACCCCTGAGCACATCCGAATACGTGCCGCGTCTCGCGCAGTCTCGTGAGGGTTTGGTGACGGCGGGTGCAGCAGCAGCGACCGCTGATGAAGACACTGCGATCGATGTGCCGACGGACGTCGAGGTCCGCATCGCCGAACTGTCGAGCAAGATTGACAAGCTGACGGAGCTGGTTCTGCAGATGCAGATGGCGCAGAACAGCAGTGCGAAGTAGACTGCGTCACCGTGTCGGCCCAATTTGTTTACAGATATGCTGTTCTTTGCTTTAACTCTCTGCATACGGAAGACCCATTTGACCATTTCACAATTCCTCGCATATGTTCGATAACTGTTGATCTGTTTATCCGTGTAGAGATATTCCTTGCGTGGCTATGAAGGTTCAGCAAGCGCCCCGACGTGTAAAACGCATCGCATTTCGGACCCGTCCATGAAAATTAAAACAACGATTGCCCTTTAATCACCATTGTCATGTAAAGAGACCTGTGCTGTTGTAACCACTGCTACTACAGTGAAATGAAAAGCGGTCTATGACCAACCCGGTGCAACAGTGCTACTTGATTCGAGTTGAGCAGTTGCTACAATTCCCCGCGTATTCAATAAGTACATCATAGGAACTGGACACTGCCGCGCACCGTTCGCCCTGGGACACGGCAACCGAGCACAACGAAACGTCACCGGGAAATACGAGAATGTGGCCGCATGACAGGAATTTGAAGCGGTTCATGTACTGGTAACACATGTTTGCGTTCTTTCCAGAGAAGTGCATATGCTGGAGTTGAAGGCTTTGGTTTTCTTCGTTACTCGCAAACGGCGATTTTTGTTTGAATTGTGTAGTACGTTCTGTATATAAATAACGACCGTTGCGAAGGAGGGCAAGCAGACCCTGTATTTATATAGTTCTCCATGAGAGATGATGCTGGATGGTGGTAGCATTAGGTGTGACAACGTTGTCATGAAACTTCCATTCGTTCGTTACCAGCTCAGAGAGTGTCGAATCACTGGAGTTCTGTCACTAATACTCAGCAAGATATTACGGATGGACTACCTTTTGCTGCTGCCAGTACTGTGCATCTTCAATGCAAATAAACATGCAGCCCATGTAGTCATGCTATGGTCGGTAGCACTGTAAACGCAGCCGATATGTATATATTTTGATACAGTACGTAATTTAAAAGGATTCAAAGGAACGGTGAGCAATGTTGCCGTAGACTCATCTTGGGGTGTTCATTTATTCAACTCTTTGTATTAATGTTTGAAGAATTTCTAAATAATCGTCGTGTAAGGAGACTATCTGGTTTACCTTGCTCAAACTCCGTCGCAAATCCTTATCGTCGTTCAATCAAAGCTGTTCTTCCACGACCAGCATCTGGCACAAAAGGGCACACACACTCTTAATAGCAGCTTCGACACCGCCCATCGTATTCGATGGGCTCGCAATAGAAAGGGATGATGACCAAAGAGCATGCCTGGCCCAGCGATACGGCATACGCGCACCAAGTAAGGTCCCCGTTGTAACTTTTAATATGGCCACATTGCACGTATTTATACCGGTTTATGTACTGAGAACACACGTCTCCGCCGTGTTTTGACGTAAATAACGGTGTTTATGGTGAACTGGGACGGTGGTCGAGGTTGCAAGTAGAGTCTAATGATTGAAGGAATTCTGTTATTTTCTGCCAATTTGTTACAATGACATTGCATGAACTGTGCTAGGCATGGTTGTTATTTATATTTCACGGGGTGCATATTGAAGACGTTTGTATGTGGTTTGACAACTTTGTCATGTTATTGATATTCAGCGATTCAACAGCACAGTGTCAGCGCCAGCGCTGAACCACTGTCATTCTACAACTCTACAATCCTACGACATTCTTATGTGTCACTCTCCTCGTTCATCACTACCTTAAAAAAGTCAGACTTGTAGCGAGGCTTTGGGTCAACCTTGTCGGCCTTGGCAGCGTCCTCCGGTTCGTCGTCAAACTCCATCTCGTGCTCCGGGTCCCCAACACACTCAGGGCACTTACCCTCGACAACTATCATCTTCTCCTCATAGGGCGTCTCTAGACACTCTTTCTCGAGACGCACTGCGTCCTCGCACTTTTCTATGTCCGAGAATATCTTTGCCACGTGTTCGCAGTCGAAAAGGTAAGTGGCGATGTAGACCTTGCACATCTTGAGAGTTGTCTTCAAAAATAGATGGGCAAGAGTAGACGTAAGGATAAATAAGGAATGCAGGTGTATCTTACCAGTTCAACGTGAAGCGGAGTCAACGTCGAAGATTGTGAGAGTGCCTTTGCTCCCCACTCGTTAAGAAAGCAATGTGTCGATGCGGTTGATTGTTTGTGTGAGTGATGGTGACTGAGAAAGATGAGATTGAATGTAATCGGAGGGAAGGGCTGGCAATATATATAGATCGTCGGGGAGACTGAACAATCAAAGTGAAAGGAAATCATGACTTGAACACTTGAACAGTACGATCGAGTTGTCCTCTGAATGTGCCCTTTGTTTTCCTTCTTTGCGACCTTCATTGTGCCGTGTTCTGGGGGTTCACACATTGCCTTGTTCAGCGAAAACAATAGCGAAAAAGCGAAAAAGCGACAAAGTGATCTTGCGGCCTCGGTGAACAATGCTCCATATCAGAACTTGCCGTGTTCATCACACATTTGAAGGGCATATCGTCATAAACGGTCATATTGGCCGGAAAATACGAACGTTAAAGGTGGCAGAAAGGCATTTTCTCAAAAACAGAAATGGCAGCATCAGTTCATTACTTTCCAAATCCAGCCACGACACCAGCAAACCAATTTTAATTTATTTTTCAGAGCCGGAGTATTTCTTTTCCCAGCATTGGGTGGTCAAACGTTTTCCCTTCTTTAGTACATTACATTTTGTTTATTTTACGGATCGGCCCGTTAACAAGGTCAAATTGTTCTGGCTGCCAAAATCGCATCGGAATATTTCGTACATTCATGGTAAAACACTTGGTAAAGTTCAATCTCAAGATTTTCCACCAAAACCAAGCAGAAACATATTCTAGTATATGTTGTCGATGCAGTTGTAGCACTTGCCTGCCCGCGTCACTTTGCTGTACGCGTCCTTCACCTTGCGGCAGGCCGAAAAGCCTTCATCAGCAGCAATAGCGCAGTACTCAAAGTCGGCCTTTTCCACTTCGCGGTGGCCACAGTCATCATACGCATACTTTGTGTAGTGCTGCTCGCACATGTTGGCGGGTGGTGTTTCAGTGAGCGGGAGACGTTTTGATAGTGCGCGTCCAAATTCGAAGTCCGCAGCGGTAACAAAAGTCTGGTGGACAAAGCAGTGGGACAAAAGCCTCGGGTGGACTGTGTCGTTTTATATTTGCGATCTTGGTGTCAAGCACCACTCGCATCACAGATTCCGTTCCTTGTCATCGTTGTTAAAATCTTAAAGGTAAAGTGACTGCATTCAGTGAGCAGCTGCACTCCTTACCATCTGCATCCCTTACAGATCAAAAGATGTCGTCTGTGTCCACTTTCCAGCTCTTTTCCTTTTTAAGCAATCCCGACTCCCAAAGCCCATTAAGGTTACGTGAAAGGCACTGTCCACCAGACTGCAGGCTACTCTACGCTCCAGCGCCACTGAGCATGAACACATATTTCCACGAGCAGTAGTAGCTCGTAGTGGACTCTAAGACAATATGTCTGAAGGTGTAACGGACATGTTTGCGGCCGACACTATTCCGTATAGGCTAGGTGATATTTTGATATTGTTTCCAGACTCACAGGTGTACATTGACGTCGATAATGTTAAAAGAGGCGCTTTGTTCGACAACGCGCTCTTACAGATTCGGTGAACAGTGCAAAAATAGGAAGTTCATAACACAACAAAGACGTTCAATGAACGTCAATGAATATCAATAAAAGGAATGACCTTGAATATCGACTATGAAAATGAACAACTGCGCAAATCCGCAAACACACGCTCTTGTTCGGCATAAGGCAAGAAATAGTATAAAACGGCAGTGTTGCATTGTAAACGTTGGATTTCTCTTGTCGTCTTTCTCGTCACCCACAACAAGTCTCAACATCCTTTATTTTCTCCATAACTACCCAAACACTCAAATACTCATCCTCAAAATGTCTGGTAGTCCGGTCTTCCACTTCAAGTACAATTGGTGCGAGTGTGAGGAGCAGAAAGACGCCTCATACTCGTACGATCAGCTGTTCTTGGATGTGGTTCGCGGACGTCAAGCCAAGTTCGACTGCGAGACAGTGGACAACGTGGTCCACGTCTACGTCAATGTTCATGGTCCATGTGCGGACTGCGAGCGCGAGGCGATCAAGAATGCCAAGGCCGAGGAGGCTGAGAAGGGCTCCGCTGCCAAGTAAGAAGGGCAGCTGGGTTTTATTTCATGCCATCTATGTTGATTGAGGTAATGGTTGAAAACGCTTAAAGGCTGGTTATGGGTCATTATTTTCTTTTTCTTTTTCTTTTTCTTTTTCTTTTTCTTTTTCTTTTTCTTTTTCTTTTTTCTTCTTTTTTACTTTGTTTCCTTTCCATGTTCGTTTTTAAAATAAACTTAAAACAAAAATAATTAAAAAGAATACTTACGATTCTCTCAAGCCTTACTGCTTGGTGACTTCAATGCTTACAGGACTAACATGTGTCTAAAAAACAGTTTGCTAATAATCCTTTCGAGAACTCATAAAACTCCTCTGGATCTATCAAGTCGTTTAAAACTTGTCTGTATTTCATAACGGATGAAGTTCATAAGTAGACCGCACGACAGCCAAGTTGACATCATCACGTGACCATACTTGTACAGAGAGTAGGTCAATTTTGAAACGGGCAATAATAAATTATGTCCCATTTCCAGAAGCAATTCAGTTGTTTTAAATACCTCCCAAATATAGACGGAGCGTTGTAGAAATGTAAGTTTTGACTTGTCTCTGATCCAAGTCCTTGGCTACACTCGACATGTCGACATGTCAACACGCTTCGGAGAAAGCCCCATTTATTGATTGGCTGAGCCGTGCCTTCAGATGCTCTTGCCGCTTGGAGGCAAAGCGCGCATTAGTCAAAATTCCGGGTTTCGTAGCAGAGGTTCTGGAAGGCGCTAAGAAGTCGCAGCTAAGACAGTGAAGGCCAGGGCATCAAAGCGGGCGACCAATACCACAACACAGCATAGGACGACAAAGTCCTACGACATCCTCCGTACGCACGCAACAATCACCTCTCGTCGACGCAGGTACCCAAAGGACTGCAGACGGCGTTACGAGTAATCTTTAGCTGCCGCGGCAAAACAGGCGGCCCCACGACGCTGACGACTTTGCCGTTCTTTGGCCCAATTTGGCACCAACAAAAACGATTCTCTCCCTCTCCCAACGGCCGCCTCCTCACAAAGCCACATAGCAACTGATCACGACTGGCACCTGAACCCGCGTCTTCCGCTCTCCATCGTCTGGCCGGTCCCGAAATATGTGGGTTCTTCGACGGGCCCCGACAACAGAGACGTCGTCCCCTGCCGGGAGTAGCAGACGCGCGAGTGAGAACGAGAGCGAGTGCAGCCGCGACGGCACCACAAGTGCTCGCTGATAGCCAAGCACGTCGGCCGACGAAGGAGATACTAGAACATCAGAGAAACATCAGAGAAACACCAGAGGCATATAGACAGACAAGATGCCGGGACTACCGGGTGTGTATCACCGAGGCAAGCGTGCTGACCGATGGACCGAAATCACAAAGTGCTGACCCTCCTGTCACAGCCTCCGTCGACCTCGACGAGTGCATCGAGCGGCTCTACAAGCGCGAGCTGCTCGCCGAGTCGCTCATCGAGGCCATCTGCGCCAAGACCAAGGAGCTGCTCATGCGCGAGAGCAACGTCGTGCACGTGCGCGCCCCTGTCACCGTCGTCGGCGACATCCACGGGCAGTTTTACGATCTGATTGAGATCTTCCGCATCGGCGGCTACTGCCCGGACACCAACTATTTGTTTCTGGGCGACTACGTCGACCGCGGCATGTTCAGCGTCGAGACCATCTCGCTGCTCGTGTGCCTCAAGCTGCGCTACCCCAACCGCGTGCACCTGATCCGCGGCAACCACGAGTCGCGCGGCGTCACGCAGTCGTACGGATTCTACACCGAGTGCGCGCGCAAGTACGGCAACGCCAGCGTGTGGCACTACTTTACCGACATGTTTGACTTTTTGACCCTCAGCGTCGTCATCAACGACCAAATCTTTTGCGTGCACGGCGGCCTCTCGCCGTCCATCCACTCGATTGACCAGATCAAGATCATCGACCGCTTCCGCGAGATCCCCCACGAGGGCCCCATGGCCGACCTGGTCTGGTCCGACCCGGACCCCGACCGCGACGAGTTCTCGCTGAGCCCCCGCGGCGCCGGGTACACCTTTGGCGCCCAGGTGGTCAAGAAGTTTCTGGCCGTCAACGGCATGTCGCACATTCTGCGCGCGCACCAGCTCTGCCAGGAGGGCTACCAGGTGCTCTACGACGACCGGCTGAGCACCGTGTGGAGCGCGCCCAACTACTGCTACCGGTGCGGCAACATGGCCAGCGTGCTCGAGGTCAGCGACACGGGCGAGCGGTTCTTCAACGTGTTTGCGGCGGCCCCCGAGAACGACCTGCACAAGGACCTGCAGCAGACCAACGGCAACGCCGACAAGGTGGGCGACGCCGGCGCGCTGCCCGACTACTTTTTATAGCCCCCCCACCCGAACGCTCGCTTTCCTTTGTGTTTTATATCCCACGCTGCACGTTTTATCATGTCCGGTCACTTGTTTCATGCTTTTCTCGTCGCCCTAGCTCTGCATCCACAGGCCTGTCTGCTATTCTTCCAATATGACGTCTATTTTCGAGTGTTCGTAAGAGGCAAGATTCATGCCCTACGCTCAACAATGATGTGATGGATATCAAAAATGATTTGTATTGCTATGAATGGTACTGTGGGAAGACATATACAATCAGTTGTCTTCGCGTCGTACGGCCCTCTGTACGACATGGCGCGCCACCGTCTTCCCCCTCTCGTTCCCTTGTAACCAACGCAAAAGTCGTTAAATCGTGTTTTCGTATATGTTGTCCGTGGCCTTGGCTTGGCCGTGGACCAGGCGCGGTGTGCTCAAGTCCCCCCCCGTCGGCGGAGGTGTCTACCAGTCCTTGGCAATGTCAAAGCTCCACTCAAACGCCAGGTGCGTCTTCTTGTCGTCGTCCACAAAGCTCGACGACGCAACGTAGTGGCCGCGCGCCAGCATGCCGCTCGGTGCTTCGTCCTCCTGGAAGCGCTTCGTGTACAGCGGCTGCTTGTCCGTGTTGGGCGCGTAGCTGCCCAGCATCTCGCTGTCCTTGCCCACGCGCACGCCCTTGCGCTTGACCACCTGCACGTAGCGCAGGCCGCTCAGCACCTCGTGCTGCACCTTGAACGTCGCCACCATGGTGAACCGCGAGCCCTCCTTGATGGTGAACGGGTGGTCCTTGAGCGTCGCCTCCGAGCCGGGCACGCTCAGGTCGATCGTCACGGGCTGGCGGCCGGGCGACTCGAGCGTCAGGCTCTGGATGATGCAGACGCGGGCATCCGACGGGTCGCTCAGGTCCTTGCCGCCGCCGAGGCCGAGGGACTCCTTGTAGCGCTGCAAGGATTCGTCGCCGGCATCTGAGGAAGGGGGGGGGGAGAGTCAGCATGTGCAGTCTTTGTACTTTCTGTAGAGGTCGTCTTGACAGACGCATGGTGAGCCGCCTGGCAGCAGAGCTGGTGACGGGAAGCAGTGCGGCCGCAGTGGAGTGGGCATCCTTGCTGTTGGTGCTCGGTATGCACCTTTTCCTGCTTCGTCGCACGGCATTGAGGCTCGCCGAGCTCGCCGGAACAGGCAGTTCATTCACTGCGCATAGATCACCACCTCCCTGACGTCAAACCCAGCACATTCCGTACGTACCCATTTGCTGGTAAGTCGCCAGGCTCTGCTTCGGCTGGGACAGCTTGTAGCCGGGCGTGCCCTCGTGGAGGTCGTCGTCGTGCTGCTGTGTGGCCATTGTGTGGATGGAGGGGGAAACGCGGAAGTAGTTGGATGGATTTCGGTGACGGGGGAGGAGTAACTGGAGGACGAGTGGTCTTTGGTCGTCGGTTGTGGTAGTTCGATGGGCTTCGCAGGTTTGTGGGTAGAAAGAGGAGAGAAGATGAAGTAAGTTCGTCAACAGAGACGAGGTTCAAGATGTCGGTGGGCAAACGGGGTTCATTAGTAGTCTAGTCCTGTCCTCGGCGTTTTTTCCCTCCTGAGAGGCCTGTAAACAAGGAAATCAACAATTCGACAGCCAACAACTAGAGCTCGACCGTTCCTTCTCCTGCCCCTGACTGGTCCTTGGCCTGCTCTTTCCTCCACTTTCTCCTTGGGATGAGGGGTACAACTTACTCTTTGGTGTCAGCGCACTCTAGAACTGGACCTGGCCGCTCGTTCATGGTGGGGCCCTTGGGGGGTGGGCTCGATCATAGGCGGTGAGTGACCGTTTGCGGGCCGCGGCTTGCCCTGGATTAGCTTCGTATCATCCACATTGGATGTGCTGCGGCGTGCACCAATTCCAGGACTACTGTGTAATTACACGGCTGCACATGCATGCTCTAACGGCTCTGGCGGTGAACTAGACGTGGTGGACGGACTGTGCTGCTCGAGTCTACGTCCTCAGGGACCTTGACTGATTGGGCTTGGCAGGGACTTCTGGGCTGCTTGCTCTCTGGAACACGCCAGCCTTACAGCGCCTTTTTTACGGAGTATTAAGTCTCTGTTGTCACTCGGCAATGGTCGCTGTAAAAGCAAAGTCTGGTATCTGAAGCTGGTTGGCTGGGACTTGACGATCTCAGCTAACACGCCACCCGGGTGTGCCAGACCCGTTTCATCGCCTCTGCTGTATCCAATGGCCAGGATGCCGGCTGGAAACATGCACAGCTAAGAATATCTCTGGCAGGAGAAGCAAAAGCCCCATCGAAGCACGATTTTTGAGGCTCTGCCTACCTTCCTCAAGCAACGTACCTGCCGTTTGTGGCCACCTTGGCTGGCGTGCCGTTAGCCCGGCGCGCCGCTCGCCTGGCCGCCGCTCCCCAACAAATTGCGTGTTTGTGGCACCCTCCATTTTGGCTGCGACCATGTCGAACACGGGGCCAGTGCGCTAGATTTCCCTAGGGTGCCTGAGTCTGCCCTGAACCGGGGTTCTCCAGGCGACCTGGCATCCCTGTGGCCAAATTGGAAGACTTTGAAAGTGGCTTGCCATCGCCCACGTTTTCCTGTGTCCCTATTTGCACATACCCCACAGGGTCCGGTGAGCGTAATTCCGTCGAGTCGCTCTTACCTTTCTTGACCTTCAGCCCCTGTCTCTTGCATTTTACCAGCGCAGCTCTTTTCCACGCTACGGCGTTTTAGTGTACTTCGTAGGCACAGTCACGCTTAACCCCTACCGCAAAAGAAGGGTGCCCAGCGCGTAATAGGTCTCAGGTGTCTGGGCCGCTCCGTTCAGATACCCCCATGGCGCCCACCTTCATCACACCTTTCGCGCAGCATCTTTTTGGCGCCTCCACATACCAACTATGCACACTGTATCTGACTTTGTCGTAATTTCCCGCACTTTGGCACGTTCCCACGCCTTTTTAGCACTAATCCGCCGTTGCGTAGCCCTATTTCGCCCGTCTTGTCCCTTCCTATTTCGTCTTTTGGGTGCTTTAACGCTGGTTCGCCGCAGACATTGGCTCTATCTACACAGCCTCTAATTGCACATCTCATCAAGTAACTCCCCAGGCCACCCACGACGCTAAGTTCCCGCCCCGAAACCCCTAAAAACCCACACGCGACCACCGTCATTCCCTAATCTGCTCCCATTCTTGCCTAAAAAGCGCCTAAACGCACCCGTGACTTTCATTTCTCGCCGCTTTTCTTTGTCGTCGCGACGACGCGCCTTTTCAGCTCTCTCCCCTTCTTTTCACTCACCAATCCCATTTCTTGTCGTCAACACCGTGTGTCCGATCGAGGCGCGAACGAAAAGGTGATTCATGCGCTCTGCTATTGTATGCATGGTCCGCGGCGATTTCAACAGTCGCGAATGCGTGGCATATGTGTTGTTCCGTTTTATTTCTGTTTTTTGGTCCTTGCTTTCTGGCTTCTTTTGTTTGTCGCACACGCGCTGACCACTTTCTGGGACACAATCGAACAGGTCGCTTTTTACCTTGCCACACCCCGGAAACAATCGAATCCAAGACCGCGACAACCGGGACGAAAAGCCAATTTGATTCGACAAAGACGTTCATTGCGTCGAAAGCGCGTCGTATTTTGTCCTCGAAATTCGATCGCATCGATTTGTGTCGCCTGACGAGATTGTGGCGCGTCGCAGCCCAACACATCCGCTAAACCCACTGTATCGACTGGCCAACTGTCCATTGTCGCGACGCCGCCTCCGCCTTTGACCCGCCTCTGCTACCGTCACTACCCGCCACTCGCACCAACACCCACATCCGCAATGGCCCCTTCACAGAGACGTCTTCCCGAGCGGAAGAATGCCCTCCTGACCGAGTCGGTTCCTGAGCGTTCGTATTTCCTTGATGCTTTCTATTGTCCTTTGCTGTCCACGTTCGTTGCGTCCTGTCAAGGGCCACACCCATGCATGCGCCGTCATCGCCTGGCGCCTGTGTGTTTAGCGCGTTTGAAAGTGCGACGAATGGTCTCTCGTGACGCGCGCCTCGACTAACCCGTTTTCCTTTTTTGCAGACGAGGAACTTGTCTCGCGCCGCCGACTCGGCCAGACCCAGCTCTCGTCGCGCCTCGTCGCCGTCTCGCCCAGCTCGAACACGGAGCGCAACAGTGTCACCGCGTTCGACTATGCGCACCTGCGCGCGCCGCTGCCCAAGGGCATTGTCTCGGGCATCTTCAAGCCCAGCCCCAACAGCTACTTTCTGATGCGCCGCAGCAGCGACGGCTACGTGTCCGCGACCGGCATGTTCCGTGCCACGTTTCCCTACGCGGAGCTCGAGGAGGAGGAGGAGGAGCGCAAATATATCAAATCGCTGCCCACCACCAGCCCCGAGGAGACCGCCGGTAACATCTGGGTGCCCCCTGTCGACGCCCTGGCCCTGGCCGACGACTACGACATCCTGCCCTGGATCCGCGCCCTGCTCGATCCGGCCGACATCCCCGTGTCCGGCCCGCCGGCCGCCGACGGCAGCCCGTCCAAGAAGATCGCTCCGCCGCCCAAGTTCGCCCTCGCGCCCACCCCGCCGACCCTGGTGCCGCCAACACCGACCTCGCTGCCGCGCAGCGCCCGCTCGCGTCGCTCGGTGAGCCCGACCAAGTCGGCCACGGGCACCAGCAAGCGCGCCATTGCCAGCCCGCGCAAGCGCAGCACCAAGGCGGCGGCAGCGGCGGCGGCAGCGGCTGCCTCGCAGGAGACGTCGGTTGCCAGCACGGAGAGCACCCCTGCGCCGCAGTCTGCGGGCCTGACGAACGGCGACGGCAAGGACGTCCTCCCCTCGGTGGAGGAGGAGGAGGTGGTCAAGGACGCCAAGGACGCCAAGGAGTCCAAGAAGGAGAAGAAGGAGAGGAAGCACGCCAAGAAGAAGTCGGACGCCTCTGTGGTCGCCGACAAGGTCTTCACGGCCGGCTCGGACGGCGACGTTCTCCTGGCGGGCCAACCGCTGTCGGCCGAGGACTCGGCGCGTCTGCTGGCCGACGCCAAGGCGATGGTGGCCGAGGCTGCCAACGACGTGGCCGAGGCGGCTGCGTCTGCTGCGTCTGCTGCCGGCGCGTCGTCCAAGAAGGGCAAGCGCAAGGCCGAGGAGCAGATCACCAAGGACGGCGAGGCGGGCAAGGAGAACGCCGGCGAGGGCGCGGCGACGCAGCAGCCGCGGGCCAAGAAGATCAAGACGGACGTGCAGATCCGCAAGGAGCGGGTGCGCAACCGGGCCCTGCTGGGCATCAGCGCGACCCTTGCTGTTGGGTACGTTTATGCCGCCATGATGAATGGATGATGCCAATCTCATCTTGCTAACACATATAGCGCGTTTATCCCCTACGTCATGGGCATGTTATAAGACGAGACGAACGAGAAAAAGGACGGAAGACATTGTGCGACCAGAGACAGACGTGTTTACACACTATTTAATCCACTACAACGAGACTGGAGAAAGGTGGGACAGTCGGCCTTGTTTTGGGGTCGTGTTGGAGAAGCGCCGTTTTTGTTTATTTCCCCTGTCGTCTTTTTTGGAGTTCCCTTTCTTCCTCGTCTCATTCGCTCCCGTCTGTTTTGGTTTTTTTCTTGGGAACTGAAGCTGCTTTCCGTCTTTGGTCCTGTCTCCTTCGTCCACACCAACTCAAAATCCCCCGTTTTCTCGGTTGTTTTCCATGTATCACCCTACCCCGGTTGTTTTTGGATGTTTCTTTAGTTTGTTTCTGCGTTTATGTTTTGACCATTTTCATTGTTCTTTTACCCCCGTCCGCAACCTTACTACCTTTGTATTGATTTGTTTCTCTCTTCTTGGACATACCCCCCCCTTTGAGTAGTTTCGCGCTTGTTTGCCGCCGACTTGGAACAGTCCGATGGACACAACTTGCGCCTGCTTGAATCACTGTACTTTCTTCACGTTATAAACCCGTATCTCTCTCTCTCTTGGCAGTTATATGTGATGGACTTGTATGTCGGCCTGGCCTGTTTGTGCAGTCCACAGAGTAAGCAACACGAAGGATGTCAAGGCATGTCGTATCAGACACCTATAAAGTAGTGGACGGTAGTCGGTTCACCGCAAGTCGAATGGCAACAGAAGAAATGTATTTGCCGCAAAAATCGAACGCGGCAACTACATCCTATTTCACAGATCTTGACAACTTCGTGATTCTCAACTCCCCAGCGTCGAGTTGAGTATTGCGTTCGTAACTGCCATTCTTCACCGCTTTCAGACGCGACTCTCTCGGACCCATTTCTGGAGCGACACCCAATGCGGACAGCTGTTCGCACAGAATAAATTAGGGAGTTTGCAGGGAAAAAAACGCAAAGGAAATGAGAGCGGAAAGGCACACGCCAAAACTCGGCATTCAAAGTTGAAAATTTCGCTCGTCTTCTTCTCTCCTGTTCCTTCCTTCTTTTCGTCACCAAAAGCACTTCTGTTCACAATGTCGCGCCTTCCTGATTGAAACAAGAAACATGAGCTCCCCGAGGGCAAGTGCATCCTCGGGGGGGAAGCTGCTCATTTTATATGATATTTATTTTTGTCCGACTTTGTCAACTTTCCATTGCCTCCTTCCCCGGACCTGGCGTGGTCGGTTCAGTGCCTTGGTTTAGGCCTCTTGGGGTCAGTTGACGCGCCGCAAAGGCGCTGTCGGTGGCTATCCGCGCGTGGCTCTAAAGCCGGCCTACTCGGCAATCTGCGGCTTTCGGAAAACAGTACCCCTCCCTTTCTGCTGTGTGGCTCTGCGGGAGTTCCCCAAGGCCGTCCAACCCCATATTCTATGCCCACATTTGACCCTTCTGGACCAGTCGTGCGCATTTCTGGGGAGCGTTTGTCTCCCCGCAGGTCATGAGCTCGCCTCTTGGCCGGGTTCCTCTCGGTACCTCGTGCTGTTTTGTTGTTCCTGAACCGGAGACAGCTGCCAGCTGCCATTTTCTTGTCCATTGTCGAGGGACCGACTGTCTGAACCATTTTTTCTTCGTGCTGGCCTTTTTCGTCAGTTTTGTTGCTTACCTCTTACATTGGAGATTGGGAGCATCCAAGTGACAAAGTCATCCGACATTCCTCCGTTCTCTGCCTCTTCCTCACTACCACCCGCACAATGCGACCGGCTACGCGTGCACTGCGCCAGGCGCGTCTCGCGCATCCGACGGCGGCGGCCCGGCGGCTGTTTTCGTCGTCGCCGGCACGGCTCGAGAAGTACGGCTTCATCGGCCTCGGCCAGATGGGATACCAGATGGCCAAGAACCTGCAGAACAAGCTGACGCCGGCGGACACGGTGCGGCTGTTTGACATCAACAAGGCGGCCGTGCAGAAGCTGGCGAGTGAGGTGTCGGCGACGGGCGCGGCCGTGGAGGTTGTGTCGAGCGTCGCCGATGCGGCCAAGAGTGCGGTACGTTTTCCCATCTCGTTTTATATTTTTTTCCCCTACACGTCGTCCGATGATGAGTATGTTTGTATGATCTAAGTTGGGGCTGGTGTCAGATCTGGCCCTCTGATGATTATTAAATCTTTGAAAGCCAATCCTCTGAGGACTCTCTTTGTCTACTTTTGTTTTGTGTCCTCGCTACGCTCGCCGTTCCTTCCCACTAACGACAGGCAGGACTACGTTGTGACGGTTCTGCCGGAGCCCGTGCACGTCAAGGGCGTCTACAAGGAGATCCTGGCCGGCGGCCTTGCCCCCGCGTCCACGCCGTCGAAGAAGCCCGTGTTTGTCGACTGCTCCACCATCGACCCCTCGACGTCTCGCGCCGTAGCCGCCACCGTCCAGGACGCCGGCGGCGATTTTGTCGATGCGCCCATGTCGGGCGGAGTCGTCGGCGCCACGGCCGGCACCCTGACGTTCATGCTCGGCAGCCCCCAGCACCTGGTGCCCGCCGTCGAGCCGCTGCTGCTGCACATGGGCCGCCGCGTGCTGCTCTGCGGCGACCAGGGCGCCGGCCTGTCCGCCAAGCTGGCCAACAACTATTTGCTGGCCATCAACAACATTGGCACCGCCGAGGCCATGCACCTGGGCGTGCAGTGGGGCCTCGATCCCAAGGTGCTCGCGAGCGTCATCAATGTCAGCACCGGCAAGTGCTGGCCGTCCGAGGTCAACAACCCGGTCGCGGGCGTGGTCCCGACGGCGCCGGCCAACCGGGACTATGCGGGCGGCTTCGGCATCAGCCTGATGAAGAAGGACCTGAAGCTGGCGATTGCGGCGGCCGAGGAGGCGGGCGCAAAACTGGCGCTGGCGGACTCGGCAAGGGGTCTGTACGAAGCCGCGGAGCAGGACGAGTCGTGCAAGGGTCGCGACTTTTCGGTCGTGTACCGGTACCTGGGTGGCAAGGAGTAGGGCGGCGCGGTAGAAAAACAAAATGGGGGCAGGTGGAAGCTGTAAACCATATGCTGTATATTGTACATAGTTATGAATTAAAATAGACGAGAATCATTTTCCCATTAGGCACATTCTGTTCTACAGGAATCAACGGATCGGATAAGGAGCCGAACCACAGAGTATGTAAGGTCCGACACTGGAAGCTAAAGTGAGCCGAGAACCGTGGAAGGTAATTTTAATAAACGGCGACCAAGTCGCCCTGGACAAAGTGCGGACCAACCGCTAGAATGCGGCCTAACCCACACTGCGAGACCGGTGGAATAGATAGTCCGCTTTGGCCGACAATGCTGACATTCCAAACGTCGACGATGCTGCCAAGCAATTGGCAGTGCTCCATGTCGCAGATGCAAGCCAACGACCTGCCAGTTCGGGCATCGAGATAATAGCAGTTGCGGATGTTGTGAGTCGATGTGGATGTGCGGTGCTTTCTGTAGGGCTCGACAGTTGCTCAGTGGACAGATATAGAGGCGTGATACAGCCTGACAGCGGACCGCCCCCACGCTGTCGCGTTCTTTGCACGTGGCGGATAGTGCTCTGAAAAAACGTCCTTCAGCGCCTTTGGGCCAGTCTCAGTGCACAGGTGCTCCACCCATCGGCGGAAGTGGCTGCTTCCGAGGCTAGCGTACAGGGAGGGAAAGCAGGTGCGATGGATACGACAAGGCGAAACGATGTGGCGGGCATTCACCAAACGAACCCCGACGAGAGCATATTTTCGGAAGGGGACGAGGAGAAAGAGGAGTTCAGTGAGGGCAAGTCCGTCGAAGGCTTTTGTACTTTTCACATGTTTGCTGAGGATGAAGATGAAGATGAAGATGAGATGTCACCAAAATGCGGTACCCAAATAGGAAGGCAGGATGCACAAGAGACACGGACAGACTCTTGACACCGTTTCGTTACCAACTCAGAGTTCTCGGATTTACTCAAAGTTATCTGTGTTCATTCACCAACGTCAAAATGCCAGAAGCTTGAGAATGTAGCATCGAAAGTATGAGAACAGAGGAATGTTTACAACTGGTCCTGGGCGCTGAGACGTTAGTTATTACTTACGTTGTTTTTCGATCTCATTCTTTATATTCCAATTTTCTGTGTTTTCAAGGCTCGTCCGCGCTTTTTGACAGGTATTATGCCCTGTCGTATTATTATTCCTTAATTACATTATGACTCCGTAGCTTGACGCTTGCTGAAAATGCCCTATTTTCTCACTCTCACCTCCGGCCCCAACTACTGGCTCTGGTTGGGCCCGCTTCAATTTCTGTGTCTCCCAGTCGTGGCAGTCTTTTGATGCACTAAATCAATACGTGTGTCTCGCTAAAACAAAGTGGTGCCCTCTGGTCTTGGCTTTGCCTGCTCACCCGCATCTGCACAGCGGGCTGCCAATGGCCTCGTACGGACCTGCCATCCTGCGTCGGCGCTCGGCAACCTTTCTCCTCTCACGAATCAGGTGCTTCCCTTTAGCATGGTTTTGTCTCTGCCCCATCACGTCCGTCGTCCCGCCGGCTTGGCTCACCTCGACGGCGAAGCGAGTTGGTGATGGCAAGGAATTAGGAATGGAAATTATAGGGGCCGAAGGCGGCTCGTAGATGTTGTTTCCAGAGACCGCAAGAGTGACCTGAAATTGATAAACAATACGACGTAAGGTAGCGTACAAGCAGAAACAAAATAAGATACATTCGTAACAAATTCTCTGTATCATCGGGATGTAGCAGGCGCATGGAGTCCGATGCAACCCTCGCTTCTACATGCCCCACCGAGCCCGCCATCAAGACCTCGCTTGCTGGGGCTCGCTTGTGCTTTTTCGTTGCTTTCGCTGCTAATGCTCCCTCGCTTTTTGAGTTTAGGCTTGGTTCGCGTGTGATCCCTCCAACGGTCCACAGTTTTCGTGTTTAGTGCGCCTTCGCTCTGCCACACTGCCCGGCCGTTTCCTCGTTCTGTCCGGCGCTGTCTCCCGGGCCCCTTTCCTAATAGAGGTGTTTTACTTTCACTTTTTTTGGTTCGTACTCGCATCCGTCACTACAAAGAAAGCTGGTTTCGATCGTTATTATTTTCTCCCACCTGTATCTTTTCTTTTTCCGTTTTCCCCCCCCCTTTGATTTTCTTACATTCTTTTATCCGTTCCCCGTTTATCGTCAGATCGCACGATGCGGTAGATGTCAACAGAGGCCCTCGACTGAATCGCCTCCTATTTATATAAACAATCCGCCACTTATCCGCCACTTTGCATAACAACCAACCCGACGACCCCGAGTCGGACACGCCCACCACCATGGCATCGACTGTTAACATCACGGCGCATCCGTTCAAAAACTGCAAAGAGGTCTCGCCCTCCTGCCCCGTCAAGGCTACGACGCTCGGCTACTATCCCAATGTCGGCATCAACGCCTTCTTTGCCGCCGGCTACGGCATTGCCACGGCTGTCCTGCTAATCACCCTCATTTTCGGCTTGCTCCCCCGCCGCACCTGGAGCTATTCGTGCTTCATCGCCGCCGGTGCCGCCCTCGAGCTTGCCGGCTACGCCTCCCGCGTCCCACTGCACGCCAACCCGTGGGACCAGAGCGCCTTTGAGACCCAGATCTGCGCCATCATCCTCGCACCCACCCTCATCTGCATCGGCATCTACCTGACCCTGCAGCACGTCTGCCTCGCCCTCTGCCCGGCCCTCTCCCGCATCCGCCCCACGCTCTACCCTTGGGTGTTTGTGCCGCTGGATGTCAGCTGCCTGCTCATCCAGGCCGCCGGCGGCGCCATTGCCGCCTCGGCCGGGTACACCAACACCAAGCTGCTGAATGCCGGCAACCGCCTCATCATCGCCGGCATCGTCCTGCAGGTCGTCGTCCTCGCCTTCTTTGGCGTCGCCTCGCTCGACTACTTCATCCGCGTCAAGGCCTGGATCGCCGGCCGCGACCGCCGCGGCCGGCAGCCGACCGAAGCCGCCCTCGCCCTCTGGCACCACCGCCGCTTCCGCACCTTTATCATTGCCGTCACCATCGCCTACGGCTGCATTTTGATCCGCTGCATCTACCGCATCGCCGAAATGGCCGGCGGCTGGGGCAACAAGATTATGCAGGACGAGCCGTCCTTCATCGTCCTCGAAGGCTTCATGATTATGATTGCCGTCGCCATCCTGGCCGGCTTCCAGCCGGGCTACTTCTTCCCGCAAATGGGCAACGGCCGCAAGCAGCGCCGGGCGGCCGAGGCGGCGGCTCTGCAGGCCAACGCCGGTGGCGAAGCTGGGTCGGAGGGGGAGGCGGCCGCTGCGGAAGCACCGGCAGCCGCCACGGCCCACGTGAACACCGACACGGAGACCGAAAAGAACGAGAAGATCAACCCGGTGGCAACCGACAAGGATGCCGTTGTTGAGGCATCGAGGTGATGACTGTTATTCCAAAAGATGCGTTTGAGACAAGTGGTATTACTTGACCGATATCCAGCATGCGTTTCATTGTTTCATTTTTACATATGCCTTCTGATCGATTTATTGTCATCGTTTTGTGCTCATACGAATTTCATCCAATCACATCTAGACTAGACTTACACTCGCTTGCAATGGTACTCTTGCAACAATATACTCTCTTATGATCGATCACAGTGCATTCTGTCTGTTTGCAGATGGCATCCAGGCAATGAGCCTTCGAATATTTTCTCAAGTAAGATCGTCGCATTATTGTGCCGTCCATAAAGGCAGCCAGGTAAAGGGATCAAAGCATATTTGTCAATGTAAGAAAGTACGCCGTACACAGATCTTATTATTAACCTTAATTCATAAGTATTGGCAGAAACGTCGTGCTTGGCTGTCGATTGGCCGTTGCCTAGAATTAGGGCTGTTCTCCAGATGTTTTATGGCGTGTCTTGCGTCGATTTCTTTGTCGGCTATTGGCGGAGCCTGCGTGATCTCCCCCCACTTGTACTTACAGCACTACGTAACAACACACTCGCACCTACGCTTTGCGTAAGCCGGCCGCATCATCACTGCAAGAAAATATGGTTGACTACCGTTGATCTGGAAGATAAAGAAGGAGCGAGCGGTTCTTGACCTCTTTCCTCAAAAGAGGGGACATCGTGGCCACTGTCGTATACGGAAGGAATGATTGAGAGCTCTTTCTTCAATTGACACCACGATTGCTCGGCCCTCTTTGTCTTACTGCATCTCCAGCCAACGCACCCAAAATGGTTCTCCAACAAAAACTCACGCCCGAGACGTTTCTCGCAGCACCGCAACGGTCGAGCGCCGTGCCCTGTCCGTCTGGCCGCATCGCCTATTTTACCGTGTCAACGCATACCTTTGTCGACGATGGCAATATCAAGGGCACAACCAAGAAGGAGCTGTTCATACTGGACGTCAACAACGGCAATTCGTGGCCCTTTGTCGTCGACAAATCGAATGATGCCAGCAAACTAGGCGACATGGCCTGGATCCCCGGGTCGGCGGACGAGCTGCTGTGGTTGCGGCCAAACGAGAACGGGTCGACAGACGTCGTCGTGGGCAAGGCCACGTACCACGAAATGGACGACCCGTCGTTCCAGCCCTACGTCGCCGGCCATGTGGCAGCCCCCATCAAGGCCCTCCGTCTCAAGGCCCTGCCGGATGGGTCCGTGGCCTTTGCCGTGGCTGGCCAAGTCGGCGCGGATGGACAGCTCTACAACGAGAAGATGCGGTTCCCACCGCAGGAGATCTCGCGCCTCGACCAGCTGATCGACTTTGACTACGATCCGTCTAGATCGGTCGAGCCCACCATTGCAGAGCTTCCTTCACCTCCCCAGCCAGGCAGCTCAGCCCGCATCTACGACACCTGGCAGGTCCGAGCTTGGGACCGCTACCTGCCGCCCCAGCCATACGCCATCTGGTACGGTTCGCTCACCCGGCGCCCGTTGTTGTCGGCCTTGCCCGACGACCGGACTTTTGTCTGGTCCCTGAGTGATCTCTACAACGCTCTCCAGCATGCGCCTCCGCGCTTTGAGGCCCCCTTTGGTATCTACGATCCGCTCGATCCGACCGCCTCGTATGACATTGGCGCCCAGGGCGTCGTCTTTGTCGTCCGCGACCCGGCGCCGGCCAATATGCACCACACCAGCTGCACCGAGGTGTACTATGTGCCGCTGGACAGCTTTGCATCGCCGACGGTGTACAAACCAGCGCGCATCCGGGTGTCGCATACAGCGGCCAGCACCAGCCCCGCGTCGGCATCGGGCGGCAGTCCTCCTGGCCTTGCTCTCAACCCGCGCTTCTCGCCCGACGGGACAATGGTCGCCTTTCTGTGGGCCCCGCTCACCTGCCCTGCCGACCTCCGCGTGCATCTCGGCCACATTGTCTCGGGCGCTGTGCACGACGCGTCGATCGTCGTGGCCGGGCCGGGAGAAGAGGCTGCGCTCGTCTCCCGCGACGGTCCCGTGCCGGATGCGTTTGAGTTTGCTCCGTCCGGCAAGGCTGTCTTTATCAAGGCTCGCGACTGCGGCCGAACAAGCCTGTTTGTCATGGAGTTGCGGGCCGGGGCACGGCCACGGCGGATCAGTGGCGGTCGGGGATCCGTCAGTGAGTATTACGTGATCCGACGGGAAGGCCGCCGGCCCGACGACGATCGTTTGTCGTCGTATTCGGTGCTGATTTCTGGCTCGTCTCTTGTCGACAGCCGCTTCTTCCACATGGTCGACATCGAGGACGACGGAGACACCGACACCTTTGAGCCGCGCGTTATTTCCACGGCCACCAAGGACGGAGCGCGGTTTGGTCTGTCGTACGACCACCAAGTGTCGGAAATGTACTTTGAGGGCGGTTGTTTGGACGACGACGACGACGGTGGCAACAGCGACGGCGGCAACGGCAACGGTCACAGCAACACAGCTGCGGGCTACTTTGTCCAGGCCTGGGTGGTGCGGCCATCCAACCACGGCAAACCAGGCTCGCCTGCCAAACTGCCCCTGGCCCTTGTTGTCCATGGCGGGCCGGAGGGTGCGTTCGACGACGAGTGGCACATGCGCTGGAACGCCGCCGTGTGGGCCGAGCAGGGGTACGCGGTTGTGATGCCCAACATTACGGGCAGCGTTGGCTTTGGTCTCGACCACACCACACGCATCTACAACAATTGGGGCGGCTCACCGTACCGCGATCTTGAAAAATGCATGCTGGCCCTCCAGGACGTTCCTGACATTGACTGCAGTCGTGCCGTTGTCGCCGGCGGCAGCTACGGCGGCTACATGGTCGCGTGGCTGCTGGGCAAGCCCCTGGGCAAGCAGTTCAACGCGGCCGTCTGCCACGACCCCGTCTTCACAACCGAGTTTATGGGCCTGACATCCGACTTTTCCGATGGCATTGCCACGTTTTCGGGTCCTGGGTACGCCTGGGAGAACAACGACAACATCCAGCGGTACAACCCGGCCCGCCCGGACCGCATCGCGGCCTGGAAAGACTATGCTGCGCCGACACTGGTCGTCCACAGCGACCTCGACTACCGCTGCGTCGTCATGGAGGGCCAGTCCGTGTTTCGCGCGCTGCTGTTCCAGGGCGTGCCGGCACGCTACCTCAACTTTCCAGACGAAGGCCATTTTGTGACGAAGAAGGAGAATGCACTGGTGTGGCACCGCGTCGTGTTCGACTGGCTGCAGCGGTGGCGCGATGTCAAGCGGCCACAAGCAGGCGCGCCTGTAGCGGAGTTGCACTAGGAACATGGACGGTCTCTGATGGAGGGCGTTAACCTCACCTGACCCACGGCAATCTGTTGCGAGTCCTGGCCTTGCCAATTTATATTGTTCAGATACCTAAATACGATTTTGTTTCTGTGACATTGGTCGTCCTGTCGTTTCCTTGATTCTCCTGTGTTACACAGCCGTACACCGCTGTACACTTTTACTTCTTGACAGCCTTGACAATGGCCGCACCGACGCCCTTGGCGCTCGCCGGGTTCTGGCCCGTAACGATGTTGCCGTCCACGACGACGTACTCGCCCCAGAGCTCGTCCGCCTTCCCAAAGTTGGCGCCGACCTCACGCAGACGCGATTCGAGCAGGAAAGGCACGGCCTTGTCCATCTGCGCCGCGGCCTCCTCGGCGTCGGTGAAGCCGCCCACGCGGCGGCCCTTGAGCAGGTAGCCCTTGCTCTCGTCGTTGTCGACAAACACGTTGGCCAGCGCCGCCGGGCCGTGGCACACGGCCGACACGACCTTGCCGGCCGACGCAAACGCGGCGGCCAGCCGCTGGCTCTGCTTGTCAAAGGCCAGGTCGAACATGGGGCCGTGGCCGCCCGGGTAGAAGAGCGCGTCGTACGCCTGGGCCGTCTTGGCGGCGGTGGCGTCGTCGCCGGCAAACGCATGGAGCGGCTGCGTGTTCTGCCAGATGGACTTCTTGTTGTTCAAAAAGGCCACCGACGAGGCGTCCTCCTTGAACGCCTCCACCGACGACGGGTCGAGCGGCGCCTCGCCGCCCTTGGGCGAGGCGACGGTCACGTCGAAGCCGGCGTCGACAAACTCGTCATACGGGTGGGCGAACTCGGGCTGTGCAAGTTAGCGTGTGCTCGGTACGCACAATTGGCTACGGTGAATGACGATAATGGACGAGGGAGCGCACCAAATACCAGCCCGTCTTCTTGCCGGTGTCGCCGAGCTTGTCGTGCGAGGTGAGGACAACGAGAACGGTGGGGGCCATTGTGATGGTAGTTGTCAATTAAAGTCGATGGATTGCAAGGACGTTGTGCGAGGATTGTGTGGTTTGACTTGATGAATAGAGAACACTGTTGTCTTTCTCGACTGTTTGTTCGTCTTTTTCCATCTCGCGGGGCAGGTCGCGGGGCATCGAGCTTTAAATACAGCAGATGTCAGGTCCTTGACGTAAACGTTTGGCAGCGGAGACTTTTTGCGGCAGTTGCTACATTGACCAGAGCTGCAGAGTAGAGCTAGGTAGAGCTAGGCGATGTCCAGGAGCTCAAAGAGCTGTTGAGACACTCCGAGGACTGTTCTGGATTTTACTTGACGTCACTTTTGTCTTTTCGCCCCTAAACGTGCGTCGTCAATCTCACTATGTTGTTTAACAGAACTGGAAAAAGAGAGCAGTGACTAAAGCGGTGCTCAAGACCGGCACTAACACCAAGCAAAGGAAGCCTATCGCCGCAGCCGCAGTAATGGGAGCTCAGAATTGAAATCACACACTTGGGGCTCGTTGTAGACATCGATGCAGTACCGGACCGGACCAACTTTTGTTCTATTGCCGTCGGTTTATGGACATCGTTTCATTATCCCGACAAGTTGCTGATGCCTCGATAGACATTCCCGAGTTTTCATCAGCAGACTCCCGCTTACAAGTCTTAACAACGTTATCTCCATAACGTCCGACTTGCCGTCAGCAAACTTGAGCCCGTCGCAGGAAGCAAGGTTGCTATGCAAGTTGAATGCGAATGAGTTTCACATTGAGCCGTATTCTGTGCATTTGAGTTGTGCTGTTTTACTATTGATCGATGCAAAGATGTATAGACTATTGACAATACAATTAAAAATAAATATACGTACAACAATCCTGCTGATATTATGTCCCAACTTACTCATTTTCACACGATATCTTTGGACATATCACTATTCACTAACGACCGTCTTGAATACGTTACATTTCTGCCGCACTCTCCTTCTCACTCGTCTATGTCTTCCCGTGGCAACGTCTTATTATGCCTCCACCTGCACCGGGACAGATGCTCCCTTGGCCATCGCCGCGGCCGACGCCGACAGCGGCTTGTCCTCGCCGTCCTCCTTCATGCCACCGAGAATCATGGACTTGGGTGCCATGGCCTGCCACAGCTCCGGGTCGGTAAAGGCCTTGAACTTCTCGTCGTGCCACTGCGCGGCCGTGACGGCGCGGCCTTCGGAGTCGACAAAGAGCGTGTCGTCCGCGGCGCGCAAAAAGTAGGCGACGCTGTAGCGGTGCTCCGCCGGGTCAAAGGGCACGACGCGGTGGATGCAGCTCTGGAACCGGTGGCCGCTGGCAAACCGCAGCGAGTCGCCGACGTGCACAAAGGCACAGCCCGGCCGGGGCGCTACAAATCCCATCTCGCGCGTGCCGCAGGCACCGCCGGGCGGGCGCACCTGGAGGCCCCACTGCTCGGTGAAGAGCAGGGTCAGGGTGCTGATGTCGGTGTGCTTCTGGTGGCCCAGGCGGTTCTGGCCGGCGAGGTCGGCCAGCGGCAGGTAGTGCATCATGGACAGCGTCGTGGTGGACGGCCGCTCGTTGCGGTGGGCGTGCTCGAAGCGGCCGGCGCCGGTGAGGCCCAGGCCGGTCGAGAGCGCCGACAGGATGACCTTGGCGACGGTGTTGCAGCTGCCGATTGCGTTCTCCAGGATCTGCAGGTCGCCGCTGTTCTTGACGGGCGACGGGATGCGTATGCTGTCGTGCTGGATCTCGTCGCGCGACACCTTGAGCATCTCGTAACCATCCTTGCTGCCGGCGGCCACGCCTGTGCGGCTGCCGACGGGTTCGTATCTGGGCGTAGCATTAGCATTGCATTGGTTGGTGTAGCGTTGTGGGGCTACCCAACGGTGCTCGGCGACACTCACCCCAGGTGCGACGACAAGAGGCCAAACTCGTTCTTCGCCTCGATCGGGGCCGCAAAGAAGCGTTTCATGAGTGCCAGCAAGGCCGCGTGGTCCGACAGCGTGCGTCGTCCGTCGAGACCCGACAGGTCCAGGTAGAAGTAGCCCTCCTCGAGGCACGCCTGCAGCACGCGCTCGACCTCGCCCGGGTCCTGCGACAGCAGCAGAGCGTAGTCGATGGTCTGCATCGGCCACACCGGCGTCGACTGGCCCATCCAGTCAACCGTCTGCGGAAAGTCCAGAACAGGGGCCATGATGTAAGTTGGGATAAGTTGGTGTACGTCTGTGGTGTGCTTGATGTGTCGTTGTAGATTGTGGCGGTTCTGATATCAATTGTGTTACGGTGTCACACCTGCAAATTTGTTACAATGACCCTTTTCTTATATAGATATATCTCTACTTCAAAATGTCAACCGGTTTATCTTCAAAGTCTTGCATGCTCCACCATCCACAACAACCGGCTTCCCCCCACCTTTGCATGGCGCCGAGCTCTATGCCGCGCCGAGCACTGTGCCGCGCCGACTCCGCTTCCCTTTTTCCAAAGTGCACAGGCTTCGTTCTGTAGGGACATGACGCGCCAGAGAGTGGCGCCACGGCGTTACCCCTCAGTTGTTAAGAGATGTTGGAAGCATATATTCTGTCATTTGTGATAGGTCTTCACGAGATGCAATGGCAACTTGGTTAAGAAGGTTAATTGTCTTCCAACTACCGACATATTTATTGTTCCTTGGCCAGGCCCATTGTTGATCGTCTCGCTTGCGTTTGTAAACAAAAACTCGGCATTTCCTTACAATACTACATCCGACTCTCTGGACAAAGGACCCTTCCTGCGACGTGCACTTGGCGCTGCTCAACCATCCGATACGACACACTTGACAGGGGAAGTGCATCTGCCGACAGGTTTTTGTTATTATTAGACGTTGTTCCCTCCAACCGGCGCGGTACACTTTATAACAAACTACTTCCGAAACACATCTTTTATGCACGAATCACCATCCATGGAGCCCATCCTCGCCGATATCGACCGATTCATTGATGACCTGGAGCCAGTGCTCTGGCCGCTGAATAAATTCATTCACAGCCATCCAGAGCTTGCATACGAGGAGCACATGACACACGATGCCCTCTGTGCTTTTATGGAGGCCCAGACGGGCTGGGCAGTGACTCGCTCTGCGTATGGCATGGCGACGGCTTGGTCGGCCGCGTACGACACCGGTGTACCCGGGCCCGTCGTCAATTTTAATGCTGAGATGGGTATGTCACTGCTGTGGCGTTGGCTTTGCTCGCATCCAACCGCATACCCATACTTACCGCACAGACGCCCTTCCCCGACTCGGCCACGCGTGCGGGCACAACCTGATTGCCGTCGTGTCGGTCGCTGCGGCTCTGGCAACGGCCGACACGCTCCGCCGCCAGACGCTGCCCGGAAAGGTCCTTGTCGTCGGGACACCCGCCGAAGAGGGCGGTGGCGGCAAGATCCGGTGCCTGGCCGCCGGTGCGTACGACGGCGTCGACGTCTCCATGATTTCGCACCCGGGCATCGCCCACAACAGCGCCCTCGTACGCACCGCCGCCTTCACCCGCCTGCGCGTCCGCTACACCGGCCGCGCGGCCCACGCCGCGCAGCAGCCCTGGCGCGGCATCAACGCCCTGGACGCCCTTGTGGTCGCGTACACGGCCATCGCGGCCCTCCGGCAGCAGACGCAGCCGGACGATGTCATTGGCCTGCACATTACCGACGGTGGCGACGGCGGCACCAACATCATCCACGCCCATGCGGCTGGTGTCGCTGTGCTGCGGGCCGCCCATGCCCACCGCCTGCGCACGCTGCAGGGCAAAGTCGAGGGCTGCTTCTGCGCCGGGGCCGACGCCACCGGCGCATCGGTCGCCATCGACGTCGAGCTGGGTTACCTCGACCACGTGCCGAACCGCGTGCTGGCGGCGCAGTACGCGGCGCATTGGGCCGCCCTCGCCCCGGTGGACGACCGGCCGAACCCGCCGCTGCGCGCAGACGGCCCGACCTGGATCAAGAGCAGCACCGACCAGGGCGACGTCAGCTACGTGCTGCCCAGCATCAATGTCAGCTTTGCCGTCCCGCCGGCCGGCAGCGGAGGCGCGCCGCACAGTCCCGACTTTGAAGCGGCCTCGGGGACGCGTGGTGCCTTTGCACGGGCCATGCGAGTCGCCAAGGCCATGGCGGGGGCGGCCACAGACCTGTATACGACGCCGGGGCTGCTGGATGCCGTGCGCGCACAGTGGCAAGAGGACATGGGAACGACAAGGATGTGATTGCTATCTGTCGCTCGTTTCAGTAGAAAGGTCTTGATTGACCTATTTTATTTTCAACAGTACATTCCCCCATAGTAACACGTCTACAACTCAAATCCGTCCTTTAGTTCCCAGTCGTACAGGAAGCGCACCTCCACCGCGCGGCCGCGCAGACCGTGGACGCCAACCACGACGGTCTCGCCGGGGACGAGGTCGACAAAGTTGTCGTCAAAGACGGCGTCGGCCACGCCCTCTGTCGGCGACACATGCAGCGTGACGCCCTTGGTGGGCGCATTGGCCGTCAGCAGGACCTGGTCGCCGGCGTCGGACACGGTCGCCGTGACGGCCAGCGCGGGCGACATGCGCACCAGCCGCAGCGGCTCGGGCCAGGAGACCCAGCGGGCGAGGCGCGTGGGCGGCGCCGCCGTCGCCGACGTTGGCGTAGCAGGGCCGTCGAGGTAGGCGACGACGACCGTGCGGTCGGCCGCGGGAATGGCCATGTGGCGCACCAGCTCGGTCGTCTGGTTCGGCGCCAGCACGACGCTGCGCGTCGCGGCGACGCCGTGCGGCAGCGGCACCGGGGCGCCCGTCTCGACGTCGTAGGCGGCCAGCGTGAGCGTGGCGTGGCAGGCCGCGAGGGCGCCGTTGACGGCCCAGACGTCGAGGGCGTGCCGGTCGGGCGGATAGCCCGTCGTGATGTAGGGCGGCGCGCCGGTGACGGTGCGCTCCATGCCGACGACGGCCGGGGCGAGCGCGCGCTTGGTGATGTAGTAGGCCGGCTTCGGGCGCCGGTCCACGTCGACGAGGGCCCAGCTGGTGCCGGGCCAGATGTCGTTGAGCTGCCACACGAGCACGCCGGCGCAGTGTTCTTCGCCGGGCCCGCGGAACGCGCGGCGCCAGCAGTTGTAGGCGTAGCGGAGGGCCTCGGCCTGCAAGAACTGCGTGCAGTACACAAAGTCGCGGAAGGGGTTCATGCGGAAGCGGAAGTTCTCGCCCATGTACATGGGGTAGCGGCGCGCGTGGCCGGGGCCCTTGTCGTGGATGTCAAAGAGGCGCGACTGCGCGTGGCGCTCCGCGGGCACAGTGATGCCGCGCTCCATGGTGGCCAGGGACGCGCAGGACTCGAAGCCGAACTCACTGACAAAGCGCGACGTGTAGCTCTTATAGTCCTGGTACGCCGACATCTTGCCGTGCCAGACTGGAGGTGGTTAGCATGCTGTTCTGTTATTCTTTAGGTATGCCTCGGAGGGAGAGGGGTGACGTGACGTACCATCCCAGATGTGGGTGTCGCCGACGGTGGTGTCGTTGGAAAAGGCGCCGCCGTAGGGGCTGCTGCGCCAGTAGGGCACGTCGCCGCCGAGGGTCTCGACAATGGCGGGCAGCACGCGCTCGTAGATTTCGCGGGCCGGGAAGTTGGTCTGGTCCCAGGGCCCCGTCTCGTCGCTCATGTCGAGGTCCCAGCCCCAGCGCTCGGCCACCATGTAGTCCTCGTTGTTGCCGGCCCAAAGCGCCAGGCTCGCGTGGTGGCCGACGCGGACCACCTGCTGCTCGGCCTCGCGGCGCACGCTGTCCAGGAAGTCGCCCGAGGCCGGGTAGTTGCCGCAGGCGAACAAAAAGTCCTGCCACACGAGCATGCCCGCCTCGTCGCAGAGGTCGTAAAAGTCGTCCGACTCGACGATGCCGCCGCCCCAGACGCGGATCATGCTCTGGTGGCCGTCCTTGGCCAGCTGTATCCAGTCGCGGTAGCGCTGGCGCGTCATGCGCGGCAGCATAAAGTCGCCGGGGATCCAGCAGGAGCCGCCGCAGAAGAGGCGGATGTTGTTGACTTCAAAGACAAACGACGTGCCCGCGGCCTCTTTGAGCGGGTGCTGCAGCAGCCGGAGGCGGCGCAGGCCAATCCGGCGGCTGGTTCTGGTGCTGTCTTGAGGCGACGCTGCGTCGGAGAGGGCCACGCTCGCCGACACGGTGTAGAGAGGCTGGTCGCCGTACATGTGTGGGTACCACAGCTGGGGCGTGTCCACGGTGACGGTCGTGGCAAAGGACCCATCCGCCGCTGTCTGGAGCGTGTGGCTCTGGAGAGACGCGCCGGAGGGATCGCTGACGTGCAGATGGACGTCCTGCTGCGCCTTTGCGACCGTCTCCACGCGGCCCTGGATGCTGATGGTCGCGGCCGTCAAGTCGTCCGACACCTGCTGGCGGACCACCAGTCGGTCGATGCGGGTCTCGTAGACTTCGAGGTAGACGGGCTTCCAGGGCCCCGACGTGTTGACGGCCGGGCCCCAATCCCAGCCCTAAGAATCGTATTAGCATGTACTCGTACCAATGGTACCACGACACAAACATACCCAATGGTACTGCGCCTTGCGCAAAAAGAGACGCTCCGGCCCGCCAAAGTGCACGTCCGTCTCGTTGCCCTTGTAGCCGATGCGCTTCTTTTCCTGCCGCGAAAACGCGGGCGCCGCCTTGAACAGCAGCTCCAGCGACAGCGGGCCACCGGCTGCGCGCAGCTGATCCGTCACGTCGACGCGGTGCTCGACGTGCATGTTCTTGCTCGACAGGATCCGCGTGCCGCCCAGAAACACGTCGACGACGGTGTCGAGGCCCTCGAAGACGAGAACGGCCCGCGCCTGCGGCGTCGGCAGCGGCGTCGCGGGCAGGGTCGTGCGGTAGGTCCAGTCGGCATCGTTGACCCAGAGACACGCGAGCTCGTTGTCGTCGATGTACGGGTCGGGAATCAGCTTGTGGTGCAACAGGTCGATGTGGGCGACCGTCGGGAACTGGGCGACGGGCAAAAACGACGAGGCCGTCGCGTTGTTGAGGCTGCTGGCCTGTTTGAATTCCCAGCCTTGGTCAATGTCCACTCGCTTGACAGCCATTTTGACGGGAGTGAGGTGAAACAACAGTTACTTGGATTGAGAATGGGCAGAAGACGTCTACAGACATGAAAGAATCAAATAAATAATCAAATAAATACGTCAACCACGTCCATCGTCCAGTCTGAACGCCGAATGGATGCCGGACTCTCGTCCTCCGTGGCCGGTATGTGGCCGCCTCGTTCGGCGTACACAATACGACACACTCTGCAGCATGACGTTGTTTGTGACTGACTCGACGCCAAGCAGGCCGACTTCGGGTCGTTGGCCTGTTTTGGGTTGTTAAAGAAACAAAGGGGGATGTCGGCTACGTCCATTTTGGGATTTAGCCGAGCCTCTGGCACGAACACACTGTCGCCGACGACGGAATCGAATTCGGCGTCTGCCGGGATGTCCTATATATGTACAGCCGTACATTCGTACAAGCTGTACGTCCTATGACAAAGAGGGGAAAGCTGTTGATTCCAAAAAGAGCTGTTTGACTTCTGCAGCTTGTGCTCAACGGCCATCCTCCCAGGAACGAAACAAGACCCTGTCGACCACACCACCTCCCTCCACCACACCTCCATCTACACAATGGCCGGAATTGCCATCTTGGGTGCCGGCATCTTTGCCACGGAAGGTATGTCCAGTTCCTGTGACCACGACGTGACAACGACGTGACCATCCAGACCAGCACACTAACGACTGCAGAGCACCTCCCTGCCCTCGTCGCCAACAAGGCCAGCGTCAAGGCCATCTACTCGCGCTCCCAGGCCACTGCGGCACCGCTGGTCGCCGAGGCGCAGAAACTCGGCCAGGCAGGCGTCGAGCTGTACTCGGACGACACGCCGGGCCACACGCTCGACGACCTGCTGGCACGCAAGGACATTGCCGCCGTCGTCGTGGTGCTGCCCATTGCCGTGCAGCCCGACATCGTCCGGCGCTGCTGGGCCGCGGGCAAGCACGTCCTCTCGGAGAAGCCGGTGGCCAAGGACGTGCAGACGGCGCGGCAGCTCATCCGCGACTACCAGGCCACGTACGCCGGCCAGGGCCTCGTCTTCAGCATCGCCGAGCAGATCCGCTTCCAGCCCGAGTTTGAAAAGGGCCGCCAGTGGGTCGTCGACGAGCAGGCGCTGGGCACCATCACGCAGCTGCACCTGCGCATCTGGCGCAACCAGGCGGCCGGCGGCAAGTACTACGAGACGCCGTGGCGCAAGGTGCCCGCGTACCAGGGCGGCTTCCTGCTGGACGGCGGCGTGCACCAGACGGCGATGCTGCGCTACATCTCGGGCCAGGAGGTCGTCGAGACGCACGGCTACGCGCGCCAGGTCGCGCCGCACCTGCCGCCCCTCGACACGGTCAACGCCGGCCTCGTGCTGAGCGGCGGCGCCACGGGCACGCTGTCCATGTCGTTTGCGTCCACGCGCCGCGCCACCGAGCTGGTCATCATCGGCACCCAGGGCAGCTTCCACCTGACCGACGGCCCGGACGGCTACGTGCTGACGCTGGAGCTGCTGTCGGGCGAGCGGCGCACCGAGACGATCAAGAGCCGGGGCGTGGAGCTGGAGGTCAAGGCGTTCCTCGAGGCCATTGCCAGCGGCAAGGCGCAGTCGCGCGCCGGGCCCGAGGAGGCGCTCAACGACCTGGCCATTATCGAGAGCCTGTGCCAGGGCGGGGGGAAAGTGGACCTTTACTAGTGTAGACAAGCAACGGCAAAGTCGACCGTTACTAGATGTAGACAAATCACAGGATGCAATAAAAGACGTGTTTCGGTGTCATTGTATGAGTAGGCGATTTGTGTTTGATTCCACTATACTGTTCGCCATTCACAGCCCACGGCTGCCAGACCGACCGACCTCTTTGAGGTAACGTAAACTAAACTAACACGCCGTTGCCACAAAATTAATTCCTTGGGGCGTCAGCCGTAGTCCTTTGTGGTGGGTCTTGTGGGCATGCGAGCGGGGAAATGGTCGTCTCGTGAGGAGAAACGGAGAAGAGAGATTCCATATCCACTGGTAGCCGGTTCGACATGAATTGACTCTCGAACCGGGCTCTGCGTCTGTTTTCATCGTTATCCTCGTCTCGTTTCTGAATATGGCGCCATGGCCCCGACACGAGAAGTCTATCGGCGAGTTCGGACCGGTGGGTAATCTTTGGTTTCGTTTTCGGTTGCGTTGTGTTTATGTTTTCGGTTCCTTGCTGACTCTCCTCTGACCGCATGCAGGTTGGTAAGCGGACTCTTTTCCAAGGACAAGGGCGGAGGATGCATTGACTGCGGCCAAACAGACTCTCATTCGGCGTGTCGTACTGACAAGACAGCATCACCTGTCGGAAACGGCATATGAAATGTACGTCTATAGAGAGTGTATCTACAGTGGGCTGAAAGAACTCACGCAAGCATTTGACTGACTGCGCAAGGTGACGAACGCAAACCGACTTGTCGGCACTGTGAAATAGCCCGTCGAGAGTGTCGTTATGACGTCTCCGAGTCGGCCGCCCGCCGCTCCGAGAGCAACGGCGGCTTCCAGTTTGACGCGAGCCATGTCTGGCTGGACACTCCCGAGGGTGAGCGTGCCTCCGTGTCCTCTCCAGTAATTCCAATAATCCAGAAGAACGTCTGACTGTTGTACTCGCAGTCCGCTTCGTACACACCGTAGCCACGAGCACAGACGACACCGACGCAAACACCGAGAGCAACACGGCAACCAATGTCTCCACACCCGCCCAGCCGTCGCCGGAGCCGGACACGGGCGTGTTGTTTGACGACGATGGCCACATGCCTGCATTGGCAGCAGAACACGCCGCCCACCAGCCCGTCCCGGAGCCGGTCTCGGAGCCCGTTTCGACACCGGCGTATCCCGTTACCGCCCCGACGCCGTCGCACAATGCAACCGATTTCGCCTCCCCGTACTCCACAACGAGCGGCGGCAGCCCCGACACCATCGTGGACCCCATGCAGTCTCTTATCCGCATGCGTGCGTCCGGCTCCGTCATCTACACGCCCGGACCTACGCAGCCGCTGCGGGATCCACAGATTGCCACCTTGCTCCAGCACTACACGCAACACCTGGCCGGCTGGTTCGACGTCAACGACCCGCACCGCCAGTTCGAGACGTTCGTTCCGTTTCTGGCCCTGAGCTGCCCGGTTCTGCTGCACGCCGTGCTCGCCCTGTCTGCGTGCCATCTCCACCGACGCAATGGGTCCCGCTACGGGGTCCACAACGGCCACGGGCCCCATGACAAGCTGTATGCCTCGCAGTTCCACGACCTGTGCATCCAGGACCTCATCCCGGCGCTCGCCGACCCAGCCACGGCGCTCGACAATGTGCTGCCCATATCGACGGTCGTGCTGCGCATGTACGAGATGCTGAGCTACGAGAGCGGCGGGGACAATGAGGCGACGGCGGACCGCGAGACGGATGCCCAGCGCAACGACCTTCACCGCCGTGGCTGCTCGTCGCTCTTCATCCACAACCGCAAAAACATTGGGTTCCGCGCGCTCAAGCGGACGGCCTTTTGGACGTACTTTCGCGAGGAGATTATGGTGGCCCTGGCGTCGCGCCGGCCGACGGCCATCCTGCCGCGCCACTGGAAGGTTGACATCACCTGGGGCGGCGACTACGACTATGTCAAGACGGAGCAGATGACGATGCTCATGGCCGAGGTGGTCGACTTTTGTTTTGGGCAGGGGGGCGGCGGCGACGGCGATGGCGTCGACAACAACAACAACAACAACAACAGCAACAACAGCGACACCCACCCCCCCGATCGCTGGAGCGACCTGCAGCGGGAGGTCTCGGCGTGGCACGAAGCCCTGCCCGAGTCGTTCCAGCCGCTGGCCGTCCTCGACGACGGCGGGCCGTTTCCACACATCTTCTACCTCTCCACATGGCACATGATTGCCATGCAGTTCTACCACCTGGCCAAGGTGCTGCTGGCGCTGCACAATCCCCACCCCGCGCGGGGGATGGATTTTCTCGGCTTTGCGAGAGCCCTCGAGGTAGGGTTGGCGGGTGGTGTGCGTGCTACTGTCGGCAGACCATTTTGTATTGCATGTCACGTCTAACACGTTCACCTCCACAGACTGAGATTCTCGAGCATGCGCTGCAGTTGTGCGGCATGACCAAGACAACGGGAGACAAGCACCCGGGCGTGCTCGTCAACGCCGTGCAGCCCCTCGTCATATGTAAGTCGCCGAGATATCTCGGCCTACGGAAAATGTATGTTTACAAAGACTAACCATTGCGCACACAACCAACGCACTCTATAGGCGGTCGGATTTTCAAAAAACCAGACGAGCAAGCAGAACTGGTCCACATGCTGCAACGGATCGAGGAGGTCACGGCTGTCAGCACGGCCGAGGGGATTCAATCCCTCAACGAAGCGTGGGGAATGGGGTAGGGCTAGCAGTCGAGCTAGCAGTCGAGCTAGCTCTTGTGGCGACTCCACGGATGACTTACTCCGCACTGCAACAATGCACAAAGTCCCTCCCCGCTCGGCTAAACGGCCATTGAGGACATGGTGTCGGCCTCAGAAACATCGTCTAGCCGGTCAGGTGGTCGTTTAACGGTTCCATTCAGACACAGTCGGCATCCACGCGGTGTCAGTGGAGCATCACCGTTTCGTGACCGCAGTCGGACCTCGTTCTACCAAGACGAACATCATGATACGTTTCAACTCTTGGTTATAGAACCAACAGCGTTCTACCAAATAGGAGATATAATAAGAACAGCTGTCCTGTTCTGTAAGAGTAGAGTTTGCTCTCATCCACCTGCTTTTTTGTTGTCTTTTATCAATATTATTATCAATATTATTATTTACTCTTATTCTATTCCTGTCAACGCCCGTCCTCCTCACCATGGCCGCCCCCGTCCCCTTTGATCCTCTCATCTTCACAGACGACTACCTCCGGGTCCGTGCCGTCCCGACCTGCCATACCTCGACATTTGTGTGGTGCCACTCCGCGGCCGACAAGGGCGCCGACTGGCAGTTTATCGTCGACCCGCTGCGCAAACTCGGCCACTGCAACCACATTGCCTTTATCTTCCCCTACCTCGACTACAGCGCCCCCAACGACCCGGCCATCCGCGCCAAGAACGAGGCCCTCGTCCAGAAAATCGTCGACGAGGAGATTGTCAAGGGCTGCCACCCGGACCGCGTCGCCGTCGGCGGCTACAACGAGGGCCTGGCCGTGGCCCTGCTGGCGACGCTGGCCGACCCCAAGAACACAATCAACGGCGTCCTGGGCATCACCGAGCGACTGGCCTTGCCGAGCCTCGCGGGTGTTCGCAAAGACGCCAACGCCCAGACGCCTGTTTTTGTGGTCGACCGCTCTGGCGCCGACGGCAACGAGGGCAAAAAGGCGCTCGAGGCGGCCGGCCACCCCGTCCGCGCTGTCGTCGATGGGAGCAAGAATGCGTCGTCGGGCGCCAATCCGGTCACACAAGAGGTACGCTCCGGACCCATGCTTCCCGTTCCGTGATTTATAAACTGCAGGACGAACTGACATTGTACCATAGGAACTCGAAAAACTTGACACGTTCATCCACGAGGTGCTGCCCGTCGAGTTTGCAAAGAAGGAATAGATAGAGATAGACAAGATCAATAGACTGTATACCATCCGCTCCTATCTAATGTACACAACCAATGGGATATCAACAAAAATAATCAAAAATATTGTCCAGTATCTACAGTAGTGTTTACTTCTCATTCTTTAAAGTGACGTTCGCTGCGATATTGAAAGATAGTAGCACCTTCTTTCAGTTGCGTTATTATTTTTATTCCGTTAATGTCTCGTGGTCAATTCGACTAAAGATTCCAACGAATTGTGTTGCGCATTTGGAATCCCCGTTACTAGTGAATTGAAAGAAATTAGAAATACAACTATACACCAAGACATTCCTAACCTTCCTACCGTCTCATGTTCTCGTCAATCCTTTGAAACAAAACGCACACACGCAAACTACTGCATCGCGCAGATATAAGCGATCATGTGACCGGTTAATTCGCCGTGTTGAGACAGATGCCCCGAACAAAAGAAACGGCCTTAATGTTTTTGGCATAGTCGGTGGCTGGCATTATTTTAGTGTCCCAAGTATGGACCCCAAAATTACCAGAATTACCAGATGCAGGCACCGTAATTTTCTGGGGATATTTCTTTTGAGGGGTTGCAGATCTGGGGTTGTCCAGATGGTGTGGGTCAGCCATGTGCACCGGGGGAGGGAAAAAAAGAAGAAAAAGAACGAGACGAAAAGAGACAAAGGAGGGACAATAAAGAAAAAGCAACACGAGAAGGCCGTGTTAACAGCATGTGTATATAGGACAGCCGTCCCGTCCTCCACACTCACCTTGACCTCACTCACCTTGGAGAAGATCACCACCTGTCGTCACCTCCTCGTCACCACATCGCCGTCACCACCACCGTTGTCCCCACCGTCACGATGGCTGACTCTACAGCAAAGCTTGCCACGGCCACCTCCCATCACGAGGAGGACAGCCACAGCCTGAAGCATGCCACGACGCAGAACATCATGACCGAGTCGCGCATGCAGGCTGCTCTGCTGCGTGAGAACCCGCGTCCGTTCCGCAAGAGCTTCCTCAAGCTGTACGGCTGCATTTTTGTCGGCTACCTGTGCTGTGCCACCAACGGCTTTGACTCCAACACGTTTGGTATGTGGGAGAGTCGTTCTTCACACACAAGACACAAGGAACAAGGAGACGTACTCACATTTTCTAGGCGGCCTCTCTGCCATCCCTCAGTTTACCAAATACTTTGGCATCACCACCAAGAACCAGGGCCTGGTCGCCGCCCTGTTTGTCATTGGCAACATTGCCGGCTCGCTGTTTGCCGGCCCGTGTGCCGACAAATACGGCCGCAAGGTCGGCATGGCCCTCGGCTCCACCATTTGTGTCATCGGCGCCGTCCTCCAGACGGCCGGCCAGAACCTGGCCATGCTGGAGGCCGGCCGCTTCATCCTCGGCGTCGGCGCCGTGCTGGTCCAGACGGCCGGTCCGGCCTACGTCGTCGAGATGTCGTACCCAAAGTACCGCGCCCAGCTCACCGGCGGCTACCAGGCCTGCTTCTTCTTGGGGACCATCATCTCGACGTGGCTCGAGTACGGCCTCAACCACATTGACACGAACCTGTCCTACCCCTGGCGGCTGCCTCTCGCCGTCCAGGGCCTGCCGTCGATCATTATGCTGTGCGCAATTGCTTTTATCCCGGAGAGCCCGAGATGGTATGATTCCTGTCTCTTCGTTGTTCTGTTCTGTTCACTTTTCTTTTCTTTTCCTTTTTTTTTCTCTTCTATTTATTGCTTCTACAGTTTCTAACCCCCATCAGGCTCTACGCCCAAGGACGCGAGGAGGAGGCCAGGGCCATTCTCATCAAGTACCACGGCGACGGCGACCCGAACTCGCTGGTGGCCAACCTCGAACTGGAAGAAATGGCCGAGGTCATTGAGCTCGACGGCACCGACAAGCGCTGGTGGGACTTCCGGTCGCTGTTCCGCACCCGCGCCGATCGCTACCGCATCTTTTTGGTCTCCTGCATTTCGTGGTTCGGCGAGCTGGACTTGCCTCCGACCAGCTACTACTTTCCATTGATGGGTAAGCCATACCGTGGTGACACTGCTACATTCTCGTCATTTGTTCTATTTTTTTTTCTTGTTTTTTTATTCATTGTACCACCTGTGTCTGACCACCCCAGTCAAAACTGTCGGCATCACCAGTGTCTCGACGCAGCTGTTGCTGAACGCCATCCAGACACCCGTCATGGCCGTGGCCGCCCTTGCGGGCCTGAGTCTCGTCCACAAGTTTGGCCGTCGGAAGCTGCTCATGATTTCCAGCGCCGGCATGACCGTGTCCATGGCGATCATCACGGCGTGCACGGCCAAACAAGCAGGCCGGCCCGCCGTCGGCGGCACCGGCATTGCCTTTCTCTACGTCTTCCTTGTGTGCTTTGCCTTTGCATGGGTATGTTTCTCCTCGTTTCTCTTGTTGTGAACCACAAAGCTAGACATACTAATGTTGTTCCCCCACACCCCCAGACGCCAATGCAGTCGCTGTATCCCGTCGAGGTCCTCGCCTACAATGCCCGCGCCAAGGGCATGGCCTACTTGGCCTTTATGAACAACGCCGTCAAGGTCCTAAACACATACGTGCCACCCATTGCCATTGCCAATTCTGGCTGGAAGTACTATTTGCTCTACGTCATCTGGGACGCATTTGGCATTGTCGTCATCTACTTCTTCTTCGTCGAGACCCGCGGCTGGAACTTGGAGGAGATCGAGGCTCTGTTCCATGCCAAGAACCCCGTCAAGGCCAGTCTGGCCAAGAAGAAGATTAGCGTCGCCGAGGACGGCACCATCACCAAAGTGGCCGGTCCGGATGATATTTGAGAGCCTGTTGGATCGAGACTGCAATGTTTGATTCGTATTCAAGTAGCATTCAAATAGCAAACAGAGAAGTACATTGGACGGCGAGACAAAATCAAACCATCTAGCAAGCGTACGATGCAAGCAAATGTCCTACACGTTGGCGATCTTTGTGCGGCATTCAACGTGCAGCAAGAAGCGTGGCGTGTTGCTGGCTGCATTGGCACACTCGGAGTAGAAGCAGCCTTGTCACTTTAACTGCGTGATGCCGAGTTCCGGAGAGAGTTACCTTGTCATTCGTATTGAACCATCATATCGTGTTCGCAGACAGTTGTGATTCACAGTCAAGTAACAAAGGTATCCCACGGCGATTGCAGTGACATCATGTAGCCATGTGTATTGTTTCCTTATCGAAGTGAGGCACCTCTTGCTGTTCCTATAAAAAGCTACATCGCTCACCCAGCTGTTTACTTTCTCTTGATGGTCTCTCAGCATCTTTCCCAATATCGTTTCCTCTCAGACACTCCTATCTCACGTGGAAAAACAGAACCAAATCGATAATACAACTTTGTCCATCGTCACATAACCAACTTCGTCCAGGACAATGTGTGAGGATCACTTCAATATGGTTGTGTGGGGCTGCGGCCACTCTTCGAAACGGTACAATACCTCTGTGGGATGTACCACAGCCACGCGAACGGGAAAGAAGTGTTCGATTGTCCACCAGGTCATCCTTTCAACTTCTTACCAGAACGTCCGCTGTTACAGTTGTCTCCAACCGAAAAGCAGCTATTAAGCAGTCAACTGTCACATGACTTACGGAGAATTACTTTATCACTTTGACTTGATATTCAACAAGCAATGAATGCGTTGCCTTTCAAAAATGTTAGCTAGTTGACTGTGCAGCGATGTCAGTAGTTGGAATGTGAGGCTAGGATTTGTGTAAGATGAAACAATGTCTTTATGTTTTATTGTCGAGTCGCGTATACAAGCACCTTCACATCGGTCTTGTCTACAAGGAAGCAAGCCCCACAACCTCGCATCGACCAACTTCGCATCAACCGAGTTTACTACAACATCAGAAACGGTTTTAAATGTGCAAAGACCATAATGTCTATGGAAACAGCAACTGTTATTAATAGTCGCGCCGTAGAACATAATACGGGCGGGATACGAGCAAAGGTACTAACTGCACTTTGGGTATCTAACAGCCAGCAATGAATAATCTTTTTTTCACTTACAGTTACTAGAGAAATGAAGTAATTTACAAAGGTAAAATGCTACCACCGGTAAAAGCGCTACCCTCCACAGTGACCTCGGCCTTACTGGAGCCTCCTGCGCGTATTCTGCCTTCTCTCGCCGAAGTGCTTCTTGGAAATTCGCAGCATCTTGTTGTGCCTGCGCTTCGGCGGCAATGCGAGCGATACGCTCATGTCTTGCAGCTTGTTCCGCCTGCCTCGCTGCCTCTTCCGCTTGCCTCGCTTCCTCTTCTGCCTGTCTCGCCCTTTCTTCCGCGTTTCCAACCGTCTTCTTACCTCTGCTAGGGCAGCCAAGGGATCCTCGCTCGGTTTCGACATGACGGATCGATCATGTCGTGCACGGCGTAGCCGCGAAATGCAGAATGAGAAGAAGAGGACAGCGCGGTGAGGTTTGGTTGGATTGGCTGGCGGCGTAGCTTCTAGTAGTCCGAAGTCGACGAGAGAAACAGGCGCTTGCAAGCGGCCGGCCATGGCGCTTGCAAAATGGTACAGCAAACACACATGGTCGGTCGAATGGAAAGCGTGGATAATCGATTGTTGATCAAAGGGTGAAGACGTGCGATGGATGTGATTTCCATTAAGGAAGGAAGAATCTAGCGCTACGGCAACAACTAACACCAAGGTTACCATCGTCCAACATATCCACGCAGTGCACGTGATATATGGGTCCTCGTTACGAAGTACACGTGATGGACCCAACCGTCAGTTGGCCCTTCCCCGTGTTCCACTTTTCGCCCTTTCCGCGCCGCTCCACGCCTGTCTCGTCTCGCTTCCCAACTCCAACTCCAACTCTCACGTCCGACTCGAACACCTCTTCCTCCCCGATTGCGCCCCCCAAGCACAACGCCGCAGATGCTGCTGCTGCCGCGGCCGACCGACGCCCCTGTCGCCCTCTACTGACATTTACCCATCCGATCAACTCATCTACCTGTACGCGCCTCTGGCTAGCTTTCCGAAACAGCGCGAGTCCGCCAATGCATTTGCTCCACCGACGCGATTCCAACGACGTCTCGCGCTTCGCCAAACGACAGCCACTCGCAGCGACGCACTCGGACGACCGCTACGCTTGAACCATACCCGCATGACCACGACACAGTCGTATCTGCTCCGTTATCGAAGTGTGCATGCGGCTGTCGGTGCTGGGACGTGTTGGCGCATTGTCCACTGTGAACAGAAGCATCCACACGAGCGTTGCATCGAATAGTCGGCGTGACAGCCCGTCTATGTCGAAGCAGTCTCTTCTTTTGCGTTGTCTTGTTGGGATTTTGCTTCTCCTCGTTTCTGGACGTGCTCTCCTTTCCCCTATCACCCAACAGTTGTCACTGCGCCGCTCTTTTCTCCCGTTTTCGCATCTGTCCACATCCATATCCAGCACATCCCTGTCACTTTGTCCTCGCTTACGCTGCATCTGCCCTATGACCCTTGTACACACAACGACCACCTGCAGTCTCACCGCGGCCACCTCGGCCCAGTCCGCACGCAACTGGTGGGGGAGCTGAAGGAGGAAGACCATGGGCGACCGAGCGCCGGAACAGGACTCGTTTCGGAATGAGCCTCAATGCTACAATTGCGGCATCACCGGCCACCAGACAATTGCATGTCCGGAGCCAACCCGGGCCGTGCCAGCGTGAGTATCTGCAGGCTGTGCGTGTCGACTGTGTCTCGTGACTCTACTAACACCCGAAAAGAGGCCTTGAAGCTCACCGCAAACGGCAGGCGTCCAAGGACTACAACGGCATCAACCGTAGCAACAACAACAATAACAACAGCCGCAACAGCAACAGCAACCGTGGCGGCCGCCATAGTTTCAGCAACCACTCCGGCCCGGCTTCCTCGCAGAACCGGCACGCGAACGGCATGGTCGTCACCCGCTACCCGCCGCCTCCGGGCCCCAACGGTCCGCACATCACACACTACTCTCAACCATCGCAGCCTCCACAGCCACCGCCGCCCATGACACAAGCTCCCCCCCCTCCTCCGCCTCCGTCTCTTCCTCCACCTCCACCGCCACCCCCGTCCGGAGGCGGCGGTGCTCCGTCGTACCATCATCCGCCGCACCATCCTCACCCATCGCCATATCATGCCCAGACGGGCACAGAGTCTTGGTCGTATCCTCCACAGCCGTCGTCGTACAGTGGCGGCCAATACACGCCGACCGGCGGTCCTCCGTCTGCACCGGCATCGGCGCCGCCCGGCTTCCCATCGTACGACTCGTACAACCAACAACACCAACAACACCAACAACACCACGGGCCGCCTTCTGGTCCGTCCTCTGCTGGAGGACCGCCGCCTCCGCATGCACCATACTACAACCAACATTATGGCCCACCGCAGGCCGACTACTTTCCTCAGGCTCCGCCAGGCGTGACTGGACCGCCGCCGCCACCGCCGCCATCGTCACAATATGGCGCCCACAACTATCATCCGTCTCTCCCACCATACCCTTCTCAGACGCAGCCACAGAATGGCTATCCTGGTAGTCAGTCTGGTCCACCAGGCTCCTTCCCGCCGCCGCCAGCTTTCCATTCTTTGCCAGGAGGCGATCCGGGCCAGTATCCCGGCCCGGCTGTGTTGTCGGCACCCGCTGCTGTACCGGCATTCCCACGTGGAAATGGTGGAAACGGTGGAAACGGTGGAAGCGGTGCCAATGGCAACAACTCGTGGCATGCAAATAATTCCAACAACAAGCTTGGTGGGAGCAGTTTTGGCAACAATTACAACAACCAGAACAATCAGAGCAACCGTGGTAACCACCGTGGCGGTGGCTTTGCAAGAGGGCGCGGCGGCCGCGTGCCGAGTGGACAGTTTCACTCCAGCAGTACACCGGCTGCTGGCTCCCCGCCTACGACTGGTCTGGCCATACCGAGCGGCCCAAGTAGTGGTAGTGGTGGTGGAAACACACCAAACGGTGCGAGTCAAGCGGAAAAGTCGCCATCACAACCCGACACAATCCACAAGCCAGCACTGCCACCATCAAGCTCGAGCATGGTGCACAAACTGCCGGAACGGCCACCAGGTATGCCTGCCAAGCCGCCGACGCCCATCTCCATGTCCTATAAGGGTGGAGGAAGGCCGAGTGCGTCGAGACACGAAGACAAGCCGTATGAATCGCCACGCACGCATTCCGCCGCCGACCACCACGATACGGGCGCAGGCCTCCACCAGAAGCGCGGCCGTGACGACTACTTTTCTGGAGCCGTAGACCGTGGCGATGCCAAAAGGGCGCGCCCGTCACCGGCTTTTGGCTCACCCCATAGCCACAACCATAGTCATAGTCATAGCCACACCCACACCCACACCCATCAGGGCCCCATGACGCCAGCATCACCCACAAGCGACCGCTTCGTCAACAACATCCCGACAGGGCCACGAAATGGTCCAAAAGGTCACGCGACCTTGCCGGGACCGAATGGCCTCGCCTCCAAGCTGCCTAGTGGTTTGCCGGGTGGTGTACCCGCCAGTCTACCCGCGAACCCGGTCTGGGCCAATCGAACAATCAACAATCGCATCCTGAGCTATGGCCAGAAGCCGGGAGCATCCGGTCCACCTGGTCCATCTGGTCCATCCGGTCCATCCGGAGTGCCTGGGCCGCCTGCGCCTTCAACCAGTTCCCACCACCACGGTCACAGCCACAGCCACGGCCACGGCAGCACAAACGGCACGAAAACGACCAGCATCCCAACAGGCCCGCGCCTACTCTCGGCCGGCCCCGTCCCCAGCAGCCTTCCGTCCCGCCCTCCGCCGGTCCTAAAGGGCGTCGTTGGTGCCCATGGCCGCAGCGCCAGCACCAGCGCCAGCCACAGTGGAGGCACACGCAGCCGCACCTACTCCCGCAGCCGGTCGCGGAGCCGGACTGTGCAGGCAGGCGACGACACCCACACCACCGACCGCGGCGGTCGGAGCCGGACACGCAGCCGGAGCCGGACGCGTAGTAGAAGTCTCGACCGCAGTCGGAGTCGGAGCCGGAGTCAGAGTCGGAGTCGAAGCCGCAGTCGCAGCAGTTCACCGCTCGACGACCTGGAACTGGCCATGCTGGGTATGGCGCCGTCGGCGGCCGACAGCGGCCACACACGACGCAACGGCAGCAGTGGCCGGCGGACCCGTCGTGGCAGTGTCGACAGCGATTCGAGCGGCGGGCGATCCCGCTCCCGGTCGAGGTCCCGGTCGAGGTCTCGCTCTCGCGACCGGTCGCGAAATCGGGAGAGTGATGACAGCGATGACAGCAGAAGCCGTGCGAAGAAGCGGATGCGCCATGTCAATGGACGCATTCCCAAACGGCGGCAGCCCAAAGAGTCGTCCGTGTACAGGTCAGTCTTCCGTTTCTTTTGACATTCATGTATCATGTATGTCGTACTAACACCCGTTTTAGTCGTCGCTGGTAGAAACCGTGACCGTCGTTTGCGGATGGGCTTGATTCGTTTCCATGCTGGGTGGTTGGGTTTGGTTTTAGCCTTTGAATTATCTCATCGTTTTTTTTTTTTTTGGTATTTGGAGTATTCCTTCCATGGCTACTGCGTTCTCTTTCTCTTCCATCTAAGCGTCATATACTGGAGAAGCATTTTCGCACGACTGTCGGGCTTTTCTCTACTCTGTACTGTAATGTATTACTATTAATATTATTTTATTATTCCATTCTCCATTCTTGTTCTTTGTTTGAATCCGTAACGTTGATTCGATATCTTTACACGCATCAATTGGACAGTCCGCACGTATGCAAATTCTCTTTGTTCACGGATAGGTACTCCTTTGCGCACGAGTCGGCCTCACTGCACCACATTTAAAAGCTGTTATTTGAACAACGAAAGACGCTTGGATCGGGCCGTGCCCGAACACGCATCTACTATGCTGGATGCAATCGATACCTATCGTCATGCACGCTGGTTCTAAAATCAAGATGGCTCACCTGTTCTCGTCCTCAATACTGGCCAACGAGTTCAACCACGAACATACACTCCGCATGTGTACCGAAATCGGCCAACATTTGGATGTTCATTATGCCAGAAAACAGTTCACGCCATAGAAATGGAGGCTCCCAGAAATCTATAAAGCCATGTCGCCCCTCTGGCCGTTCCAAGTCGGATCTGCTCCTAGTAACTTCTACTTTCTAAACGGATCAAACCTTGCTGCCTTTTCACAACACAACTAACAATTAACACAGCGAACACAGCTAACAAAAGTCCTTTTAGTCCGGACCCATCTCGAAATTCAAGATGGGCGCCGAGCAGTCAATCCCCTCCGCTTCGTCCCCCTCTTCTCGCCGCCATTCCGGTTCTTCTCACTCGTCTCACTCGGCTCACTCGGCTCAGTCTGCTCACTCCGCTCACTCGCCTCCTGCTGCTCCGTCTCTTACCCGCTCCGACGCTGTCCGCCACCATACGCCTCCGGCTCCTGCGTGTGGCTCCCACCGTGAGTACCTCATGCTCCGGGAACAACTACTCCAGATGGCCTACAACGAACCGATCAACGCCGACTCCGACATCTTTGGTGATAACCACGGCTACGCTGCCCGTTTCTCGTCGCCTGTCTCGGTCTGCCCCTGCAACCACTACTCCAACAGTAAGTCTTACATCCCCATCTCTGCCTGCACTTGTGACTATAGTACTGGTGGTCCCTCCCCTTTCCCGCCCCGGCTCTCCCGTACTCGTGCTCTCCGCTCTTCTGCCAGCCCCTCGGCCCGCCCTGGCTCTCGCCGTGATATGATGCTTCGGGATGCTAACCCAATCAGTGATCCTCCTGTTTATCTCCCGGACGACTTCTATTCTGAGGCGACGCCGTCTTCTCCCTCCGTGGCACCTCCCTCGCCTACATTCTTACCGCCTTTCATGGTCTCGTTCGATGACATCGTGGACATGGGCTACCCGGTCCCCATCGATCCGTCGCCGGCTCTTCAGTACCTGGTGAAGCCCAAGACACCCAACAGCCGTCCGGTCAAGAGTCGTTTCCGCGAGGAGTTTTAAACTCCTTGGCTGAATCGTCATAAATCGTCTGACGTTCCCGGTCATTCGTGGCTTTGGTAACACTACATGGTAAGTCAAATCACATCACAGCACAAAACTAACAAAAAATACAGATTCCACTGTCAAGTTGAGCGCTTCGGCGAGTCGAGATCGCCACAGGTTGCTCCTGGCATGAAATTCATATCGAACAGACTCACGTTTGTTAAAACAATTTCATTTGCTAGCAAGCACAATAAACACTAAACCATCTCGTTGGTCATGCTCGGGAATACCCTTGGGGCAGTAAGAAGCAACTAGAGAACAAAATAAAGTAAAAATTTCTACCAAAAAAAAAAAAAAAAAAAAAATTAGCCTTCAAATTGCTGTGCCACAAACAACACGTAAATGACTCGTAACCGTACTGTTAAAGAAGAAAAAGATTCCGATGCAGACCAACGAAACAATACCAATAGCTACATGCCCAACAGGTTCACTACTGCCCACCTCCAAGGACCGAACGCAAAGCATTCCAGCTTGACCCGATCCCTTTTCCGTACCAATCAACAGTGCCAATATCATGCAACGCGGCACTTTGCGGCTGCAACCGCTAAGACCGCCTATTAGTCACAGGCCTGAGCTTCCCCGCAAATAGGGCTGAGAAATGACATAGCTAGGCCTCAAACTTCGCCCCACCCTAGGTTCGGTCGCTCTTTCCCAGCCCAACTGTCCTGCACGTCACAGGCAACCACCGACGACGCACGCCATAGCATCACCAACGGTCCGTTCGCTGCATATATCAGACCCCAGCGCCTCACTTGTGTCTACTTCAATCGTTGCATCCACAACATCCGCATATTCATCACATTCGTCGCCATTTCCATTCGGCATCCATTCGACATTGCAGCAGAACAGCAGTTATCGCAGCTAGCACCGTCTACACCGCATCAACCAGCTGTGCAACCATCGCAACGCATCCCAGATAGACTGCATCGCACCAAAGCTTTATCCACCATCTTTCGTTTCGCCACCCATCTGACATCCCTCGGAGCATCACATCATGACCCTCAAAAGTCAAGCCGAGTCGTCTGGCACCGGCCGCCTGCTGTCCACCATGAACGCGGTCCTGCCTGCGCCCCGCGTCGACAACACCGGCGAGGTCTTTACGCTCTTCGTCCACGCCCTTCTCGTCAACGTCGGCTTCGCCTTCCAACACATTTCACGCTACAGCAGCCGCGATGGCTCACGGCTAGACGGCAACAGCACCAGCCACGGCCAGGACCAGGATCAGGACCAGGACCAGGGCCAGGCCTCCAGCTCGACAACGACACTGTCAAGCAACCGGCTGCCGCCCACATGGAACGCCGGCAGCGCGGATTCCGTGACCGAGCTGGTCTACACGCATGAGAATCACGCCAACACTGTGTTTGCCTTCCGGGTCCACGTGTCCGGCGTGCATGTCCACATTCTGGGCACGTCACGGCCGTTGTCGGGCTCGGTGGCATCCCCGCCTGTGCGCCTCGCCCAGGTGCCGCCTGACGGCATCGCCAACAATGGACAGCGCGTGGCCTCGGGCCGGTTTGTCGCGGCGGGCTATTCTCTCGATATTGCCAGCGGCCAGGACATTGCAGCCGTCTTCACCGAGCACGCCGCGTCCAGCCTAGCAAACGACTTCCAGTTCTACATCCTACAGCGTCTCGTGCCGACACTCCAGCACGAGGGATATTCGCGTCTCGAAAGCCCTCCGTCTGGAGCTGGGACTGGAGCTGGAGCTGGGGCCGGTGACGAGAAGCAGAGCACGCACGCGATTGTCACCGACAGCGCCCAGGCCCGACAATGCGTTTGCGGCACCTCCCTCCCTGACACCGGAGCCCAGCGGGATCCCGACGACGAGCCCCCCACGCGCTCGCGCCTCCAGGAAGGCCAGCCCCAGCACGCGCAGCCGCCCCTGCTCCCGGAGCTGGCCGCGTCCACGCCGCTCGGCCCCATCATAGACGACTTTACGCCGCCGGCTGCCGCGCCCCGCCCCGGTGGTGGCCCCCATGTGCCCGGCCCCAGTGCCGACTTCCCGCCGCCGGGCTTTGAAGACGAGCACCAAATGCTGCAGACGACGGGCCCCCGCCGCGGCGACTTCAACCCCAGCATCGGCGCCGACGACCTCAACCCGCCCAGCCTTGGCCCGCACGACCCACTGCGGCCATCCCGGGGTATTGGCGGTGTAGGCGGTGTAGGCGGTGTAGGCGACGGCAGCTTTGGCGGCATGCACCCGACCTTTGACGACCCCTTGTTTACCGGGATCCGTGGACAGGGTGGACGCGGTGGCGGGGTCCGTGGTGGTTTCCCGCAGAATCCGCCGGGCGCACGCTGGGACGACCCCGGCCCGGCGGGTATGGATCCTTCCGGCATCTACGACGAGTTTGGCGGTGAGGGCATGCCGCAGTTCCCTGGCGGCCGTGGACGTGGCGGTGGCTTCGGTCCTGGTGGAGGCTTCGGTGGAGGGTTTGGCGGCGGAGGTGGATTTGGCGGATTTGGCGGTCCAGGCAGCGGCGGCAGCGGCGGTTTTGGAGGTTTTGGCGGAGGCGGATTCGCCTAGATGAGTTCCACGTGTCTAACGGTGCTTTGGTATTTTAAACCCCAAATTGTCACAAGGACGGCCAATATTGTGGAATAGTTGGTCGATTTATAGTTAAATGTTCAATAATTTTAAACCTCAACCACGCAGTCCAAACGCCACACATCACCATTGCATATGTGATCTTCGCAAGCTTTAAAAACATTGTCAAGTATTGTATGTGCTTGTGATTCAATCAGGCCCTGTGCCATCTGACTTTTCTTCCGGTCGTGACCCCGTTGCAGCCTCGTGCAATCGACAGTGAAACGAACATTAATAAAGAGGTATATCCACCCATTTTCTCCTACACGCTGTGCATCCTACAGCTACCACAAAGCTCCCCAGCAAAGTCCATTCCACTTATGCCAGCTCGTTCAGCTTCTGTTGCTCCACCGGCGTCAGCTGGTCGTACCACCCCTTGAAACCGCCCGTGTCCTCACGCGCTGTCCGCAAGAAGAATTCCGTCAGGTACGCTTGCGTCTCGTCGTCGCGTGAGCGGCGGTTGGCCGGGCCGCCGTCGAGGTACGAGAACAGGTCGTTCTTCGTAGCGCCGAGGCTCAGGTCCAGGATGTCGTCGGTCTCGTCCTCCCATCCAGAATCGTCCTCGTCCTCGTCGTCGCCACCGCCCTCACCGCCCTCGCCGGCGTCCTTCTTGGCCTCCTTGCCCATAGCCTCAGCAGCGGCTGCGGCTGCTGCACTACCGCCAACCTCGAGCGAGGCAGCGCCCGACTTGCCCTGGGCGGACGTGAGCTCCTCAATGAGTAGCTTCAGCACCTTGAGAGGAGCCGGGATGATCGTGTACTGATCCGGGTCTTTAACAGGCACGGTGAAAAAGTCAGTGATCGGAAGCGGGACTAGCAAGGTGCATTTTGTACTGTGTGAGCGCGGAAAAAAAGGAAGTGAGAAGGGAAGAAGATGGTGGACAAAGGAAAGGCAAGAGAATACGCACTCTGCTTTGCGCGCGACCGCGTCATTATCCGGTCACTCGTGGGCACAATCAGGTCGCCCTTGACCTGGGTCTGGTTGATCAGGGGATCGTTAAGGTCATACAGCTTCGATAGAGCAATGACACTAGAGGTGGGTTAGTATGCAGTACACTCTCGACGGAAAAGCGAGGAAAAGAAAAGAAAAGCCTACTTTTGCCGAATCTCGTCGTAGCCTGCAAAGTTGGGCGAGTTCTCCAGCCACTTGCTCAGCACCACGGCCAGTCCATTCTCTTGGCCGACAGTAATCTGGCTTAAAAAGGCCACCACTTCGCCGGCAGCCGTCAGGCAGAGACGAGCAAACACGAGGATCAACGACTGAATAAATGGCGCCGTCTGTGCCGAGCTCAGTCGGGTGGCCACGGCCTGCAGTAGACGCTCCAGCATGCCGTCGCCCAGGCGCTGGTGGCCGGCCTTCTCAACCAGCTCCGCCGCCAGGCCGCCCACCTCGGACGCAGAGTTGTCCTCGACCGCCGGGCCCAACAGCCGGTCAATGATCTGCAGGCACACAACCAGGCCGTTGTTTCCCAGCTCATCGTGCCACTCAAACATCTGGTGGTGGTCGTGGCTCAGCATGTACTTGAGCGCCTCAGCACCGGGACGCAGCAGCTCGCCCTCGTCCGACTCCATCAGCAGCTTCTTGAGCTTGGGCGCCACCTGGGCCACAAGACCCGCCGGAAGCGGCTCCGTGCCGCTCTGGAGGAGTATGGCAATGAGCTCCGTCGCCATAGTGATAAGCGGTTCATCTTGGGTCAGGTCTGAGAAGGAGAAGAAGCCGTTGAGCGTCGGGAGCACCTTAGCGCACAGGGCCACATATGATGTGGGGTCCGAGAGGGCCTCGACAATCTCCTCAAAGCAGTCGTTGGCAATCATTGTTACGTGGAAGTTGTTCGCGCCGCAGCGCGCAATGGCAAAGAGCAGGTCGATCGACGGGATCGTCTCGTTGGTCAGGATGACACGGGGTTCTAGGCCGATGGTGCGGCGCAGCGTCTCGCAAAACGTGGCCAGCAGGTCGTCGGCGTCTTCAATGTCCGCCGGATCTCGTGCGCCGAGGAAGTCGTTGAGCGCTTGTAGGATGGGCACTTGCCGCTCAGCGGGCGCGGCAATGCCTTGGCCGGGCTGCGGCGGGCGAGCTTGAAGGAAACCGTCCAGAGCCTTGATGCAGGCCACCTGAACGAGCTCCGACTCCGCCTTGGTGATAGACAGGATGGCATTGTCCAGGTAGCGCAGACCAAGCGCGTTTGACTGGGAGATGAGGCCGGCCGCCAAGTAGCCACGGGCCACCAGCAGCGGCTCTTGGCCGGCCGCAGTGGATACCTCGACGAGAGCGAGGTACGCGTTGGTAATCTCCTCGGAGACGGGGTTGCCGCAATCCAGCATGTCGCCACCAAGCATCGTGAAGAGGTACAGAGCAGCCTCCTTGGCGCGCCAATCGCCACCACTGGGCTGGTCGGCTGCGAAAAGGTCGCGCGAGCGCGCATAGAGGCCCTCCAGAGAGCGCTGGCCGAGCCACTCGCCCAGCTTGATCAGCAAATCGCCGCAGGCCGTGCGCGCCGTGTAATTGGCAGTGACGGACGTTTCCTCCGAGAGGTAGAGCGAGACATCAATGTCCCACAACTCTTCCTCCTCCCGCGTAATGCGAGCGTAGTTGAGCAGCAACGTCATCAGCTCGGCCAGCCACGGCGTGTCGTGAGCAGCAACGCCGCTGTTGGCCAGCTCCTCGTTGAGCTGCTTCTGAACCGGCGGCGCACGGATGCACTGGTTGAGGAAGTCAAGCTCCTCAAGTACGAGGAAGTCGAGCGTGTAAGGCAGGCCGTCGGCGTCCTCGAGACGGCTCTGGCTGTCCTGGTCAATGTAGAGCTGCGCGTAGGCACCCTTGAGCAGGGCCAGGTCCTGCCAGGTCTCTTGGAAGAATATGGGGCTCTGGGGCAGCAGCAGCGACGAGAAGACAGTCTTGATCTTGAGCAGGGTCTTGACACACTGCAACTTGAGGGCCACCAGACCATTCCAACTCTCCGACTGCTGGCCTTCCTTGCTTGCCGGCTGGTCGAGCGGCAGCTGCAGCTTCATGACGTCGTGGAAGAAGGGCAGCCAGCCCTGCAGAGCCTCCTGCGCAAACGCCTTGACCTCCTTGAGGTGCTCGTCCTTGACCATGTCCATCAGGTCAAAGCTGCTGCGGAACACCGAGACAGCGAGTGCGCGCAGCAGCGGCTTGCGGTCGCCCGACACAGAAACCTGGTACAGCACCTCGACAATGTTACGGGCCACGGCGAAGAACTGCATCTCGGTTAAGCCGTCGTCAACCAGGTCGCGAAGCACGCGTAGTGCGCCGTGTATTTGTGAGTCGGTGCCCGAGCGGATCACAGCCAGGAGAGAGTCAAGCAGGTCGGGCCAGCGGTCCGGGTAGTCGACACTGGCGATCTTGCCCACCACAAAGCTCACCGCCGCCTGAACGCGCCGTTCGCTCCCGTCACGCGTTGCCAGCTCCAACAGCTGGACGCGGATCTGCTGCTTCACATCGTCGCCAATAGGGATACGAGAGGCGGCGGCGCTGGCCTCGTCGTCGTCCTCGTCGTCGACATCGCCGCCTAGGCCGCCGGGGATCCAGTTGCGCTGAATAAATTGCCGTAGCACGGTGAGGGCGGACTGGCGAATCTCGGCCGGATAGGAGGAGGTCGCGGCAATGGCGGTCAGCAGGCTCGGGTACGCGGGACTGCTCTGGGCGCTCTTAAGCTCGAGCTCGGCGCGTTTCCGGGGCTCCTCCTCGGGCCGCTGAGTGTCACTCAGCAGGCGGACGAGCTCATCCATCGTGAATCGTGACGAAGAGCTTGTTTTCCAAGGGTCGAAGTTGGTCAAAAGGGGAAGCGGTTTGGCAGCAGCTGTCGATGCTCGATGGTGTGTTTGTGAGTGGCCGAAAATCGCGAGAATCTCGACCAGTCTGGACTTCCACGAACCAAAAGAGCAACAATTGGAGGTGGAAGAGACGAAGAGGGAGGGGAGGATGCCACGGAAAGAAAAAGGGTCGCAGATTGGAATGGCCAGTCGAAAAGAGGAGCGAGAGCAAATCGGAAACCGAGGAACCTACAGCCCCGAAACTGGACCAGGGAAGGAGCAAAAAAAAAAACATGCGCGGGCGGCAGCTACGACCCATGGCGGGGTGTCTTGCCAAAAGTAAACAGCAAGAGCGACTGAACCCCTGTACATATGGCGGGGGAGCCGTTGTTGTGGCAGGCGGTCTGTGCGCTGTGCAGCAGTGCCTTCCAAACGCCAGGGAGAGGCAGATGCCAAGGCAGAAGTCACGGTCAGACACCACTAAAGCGACGAGGGGCAATCACGTGTTTTGGCGTCTCGCACAGGCGTTCGTTAGTGAGCAACTTTCCTGAACAGGCCTGTAAGTCAAAGGCGAGCGGCATCCATCGTGACAGGGATCAGGATGTCCTGGCAAAAGTATGTCAATTTTGTCAATTTGCAGCCTTCGACGACGACGCAGATATCAACATGTCGTCCCTCTCACTAGACGAGGCTGCACGGCTGTACAGCACTCTGCATCACTTCTTTGAGGTTGCAGTGCACGCCATCCTCTACTACCGACGACTGTATCCAGAGCGCGCTTTTGCTTCGGCAACCGCGTTTGATGTGCCTGTCCACCAAAGCCGGCATCCTGCGGTGTGCGCTTGGGTACGAGCGGCAGTCGAGCAGGTCATGATACAGATTGCTGGTGGAGAAGCGGACGAGAACAGCTTACCTGCGGACAATGTCAACGCCGTTGCCGTGGTGGTCCACGCACCGTATAAGACAACAACCGGCAGTGCACAAGCGCACAGCCTGCCTCCAGGCGCCGTGCTGGAGCGCTGGGTCTTTGATGTGCGTCATCTGCCGCGTGGCTGGCCTGGCGGAGCTGAGACACTGCGTCGTATGCAGAAAGACACTGATAAACGTGGCCGCCAAGATGAAGAGCGCGATCGAGAACGGCGTGGTCGGCGACGCAGACGAATTTCG